AAAAAAAAAAAAAGAGCCGTGGTGGCGCATGCCTGTAGTCCCAGCAGTTGGGAGGCAGAGGCCGGCAGATCTCTGTGAGTTCAAGGCCAGCCTGGTCTACATAGTAAGTTCCAGGCCAGCTGGGGCTACAAGGAGCTCAAAAAGACCAAAAGAAAGAGAAGATTCTCCTTCCCTCTGCCTGACTCTGCTCCTATTTGAGACTCAGCTGGTGCAGACCTCCATAGAACTAAGAGACTCCATTCAGCTATTCTGTCAAAAGATCCAAATGGAGAGATGGCTCAGTGATTAAGAGCACTGACTACTCTTGCAGAGGACCCAGGTTCAGTTCCCAGCACCCACATGGTGGCTCATAGCCATCCATAACTCCAGTTCCAGGGGATCCAATACCCTCTTCTGGCCCCTATGGCATTGCACAACACAGGTGCACTCAACATACATGCAGCCAATACACATACACATAAAATAAAAATAATAAAATATTTTTTTTAAAAAAGATCCAAATTGCTGGGCATGGTGGCACACGCCTTTAATCCCAACACTCGGGAGGCAGAGGCAGGCGGATCCACTCTGAGTTCGAGGCCAGCCTGGTCTACGGAGTGAGTTCCAGGTACCTGGAGCTACAGGGAGACAGAGACCCTGTCTCAAAAAGACTTCCCACCCCTCAAAAAAAAAATCTGGGTGTGGTGGCACACGCCTGTAGTTCCAGCACTTGGGAGGCAGAGGCAGGCAGATCTCTGTGAGTTCAAGGCCAGCCTGGTCTACATAGTGAGTTCCAGGCCAGCTGGGGCTACAGGGAGACCCTGTCTCCAAAAGACCAAAAAAAAAGATCCAAATTGAGTTGGACATGGTGGCATGGGCCTTTAGTCCCAGCACTTGGGAGGCAGAGGCACATTGATCTCTGTGAAATGGAGGCCAGCCTGGTCTACATTGCAAGTTCAAGGCCAGCTGGGGCTACCCAGAAACCCTGTCTCAAAAAAGATCCAAATTGAACTGGTTGTGGTGGCACACACCTGTAATCCCAGCACTTACAAAGTGGAGGCAGGAGGAGTTCAGGGTCATCCTTGGCTATACAGAAAGTTCAAGGCCATCCTGGGATATAGGAGAACCTGTCTCAAAGAAAAAAAAAATGGCTGGCAAGGCAGCTCAGCAGGTAAAGATGATTGCCACCAATCCTGACAACCTGAGTTTAGTCCCAGGACTCACATCATGGAAGGAGAGAATCAACTCTCACAAGTTGTCCTCTGCCCTCCACATGCACACTGTGACACATGCGCACCCACACACATTCAAACACACAATAAATGAATAAATAAATGTAATAAAGAGAAAAGGAGAAACACACAAAAGATTTGTACAGATGTGCATGGCGGTGTACTCCTGGGGACCCTGCCTCCCCAGTGCTGGGATTAAAGGTATGTGCCACCACCCAGCTTGGTTTAGTTTTGCTATCATATTGGGGTGCTGGGATTGAATCCAGGGCTTTGCCCATGCTATGCAAGTGCTCTACCGCTGAGCTGTAATTTTTTTTTCTCTAATTTTTTTGAACTAAGGCTTGAATGAACTCCTGATCCTCCTGCCTCAGCTTCCAAATACTGGGATCACAGGACTGGTGTACCACCACACTCAACTGTAGCTTAGTACATCATTGTACCATCATTCCCCTGCTCATGAGGAATCGCCTTTGCCTTGTTCTCTGTGAACCGTAGGTATACCCTGAATTTGAAGATCAGAGGGCTTGCCTGCCGTCCGGGTCTTTCCTGACTTGCTCCTCCGACAACACCATCCGCTTCTGGAATATGGGTAGCAGCTCTGACACTCAGTGCCAGAAAAACATCTTCAGCGATGTGAGTGACTTTGTTGTGATCTATTTTCTGGAAGAGTGAGAATCTCTTCATAGAACCTGGATGCAGGCTTCCCCATGGGACAAAAACCTGGAACCAGGATGGGACAGTCTCATTCCCTTCTTTCTGTCTTTGTCCCTCCCTTTCTCTGGTGGCACAATCTGTCCTTTTCCCTCTGTCTCTCAGCTTCTGCTCACCAGGTGTGTGTGGCCGTGGCTACTCCGGGTAGCTAACACACTCGCGGGAGGTGAACTTGCTTCCCAAGTTTTGAGTGGGAATTCCAAGAGAGTACTAACAGGAAGAGCCAGGCAGGGCCTCCCCCATCCAAGTAGCCACCATGGAGACCTCAGCTGGGGTGCTGGTGGGATCGTGGAGAGAGGCCTTGTGGAGGCTGGAGAGAAACAGTTTGCTGAAGAAATTTTAGTCAGTATTGCTAGGTCATGGAGGAAACTGGAGCTGGGAAATGAATCATGCATTCATTTATTTTGCCCATGTTTGCAAAGGTCTGTGCCAGGGTCTGGTTACATGCTAAAATGGACCCTTCTGTCCTTGTGGCATCTGTAAGTCTAATGAGAGAGGCAGACAGTGATCCAATGAATTATTCTGTATGCTGTAAGTACCATGAGAGAAAATGTCAGGATGCTAGTTGTATGCGTAGCAGTGTTATGGGATCTTGCCTGGCACAGCAGCAGCAGCACACTCTGGAAGAAGCAGTTCAGTGACTAGAGGGCTAGGAGGAAGCAGAAGGAGAGAGTTCATACCTCAGGAATCCCCTAAGCAAAGGCCTGAGGTGGGGCAAAGTTTGCCGAGTAAGAAAACATAAAAAGTCAGTGTGGCTGCAATAACATGGGCCCTTGATGCAGGATACACATGACAAGTGCTGTTGTATTACTTCCCTCACCTCCCAGACAACAGTGCTATCTTTTACATGATAGAAAAACCCAAGACTTGCCAGGCATGGTGGCGCATGCCTATAATCTCAGTATCTGAGAGGTGTATTGGTTGCTTTTCTGCTGCTGTGATAGAACACCATGACCAGGGCAACTTATAGAAGAAAGTATTTACTGGGCTTACGGTTGCAGAGGGATCAGAGTCCATCATGGAGGTGGGGGTGTGTGGCAGGAGGCAGCTGCAGCAGAAAGCTGAACGCTCACATCTTCAAGCAGGCATAGGGAGCAGAGATACTAAAAACAGTATGATGCCATGTACTCTCAAACCTGCCCCCAGTGACATCTTCCTCCAGCATGGCCTCCTAAAGGTTCCATGACCTTTCCCAAACTGTGCCACCAACTGACCAAGTATTCAAATAATTGGAGCCTCTGGGGGATATTCTCATTCAAACCACCACAGGAGATAAAGATAGGAGGATTCAAGGCCAGCTTGGGCTACATGAGACCCTGTCTCAAAAAGCAAAATAATGACATCATCAACAACAAAAACCTTAAAACTCGGTTTTCTGATTAAGGAAGAGTCTGGAGGTGATCAATCTGGGCTGTTTTGGCAGCTCCAGGAAGCTCTTCCATCTCTCCATTCCAGAAAATAGCTGCCATCCTCATGAGCCATCATATCCGAGCTCCATGCAGCCAGATGGAGGAAAGGCAGCAGACGTGTCCCACAGCCTTCCACCTCATTGCCCAGAATCCCATCTAGCTGCAAGGAAGACCCAAAAAGGCAGTTACTGTTCTGAGCAGGAAGTTCCCAACTCAAAACTTGACTAGTATTATTCAAAAAGTGCCTGGCTACAAGGCGGCACAGTGCTCCAGAGATGCTGCTAAGTTCCTTGTAACGCTCACCTCAGCCTCTCCTTCCCACAGACCCTGCTGAAGGTAGTGTATGTGGAGAATGACATCCAGCACCTACAGGACATGTCCCACTTCCCAGACCGGGGCAGTGAGAATGGGATGCCCATGGATGTGAAAGCCGGGGTTCGAGTCATGCAGGTCAGTCCTGATGGCCAGCACTTGGCTTCAGGCGACCGAAGTGGAAATCTGAGGCAAGTGGCCCTGGTGGTGGCTAGTGTTCACCTCCTGGCCCCAGCTGGGGGTCTCAGGGCACTGAGGTGGAGTCCTGATCTTGGACTTCAGCTGCCCATTGGGAATAATGGACCCTCAGTAGTAATCCAGTTGCCAGCAAGCCCCCCTAGAATACTTCAACTGGGAAGGGGTTGGGAACACAGAGTTCACCCAGGTAGGGCAATAGAAGGCTTGGGCCACCCAAAATGGCTATTCTTTGATTTTGGTTGGGTTTTTGTTTGGTTTGGGTTTTTTTGGGGTGGAGGGTATTTTTGAGACAGGGTCTCCCTGTAGCCCCAGCTGGCCTGGAACTCACTATGTAGACCAGGCTGGCTTTGATCTCACAGAGATCCACCTGCCTCTGCCTCCCAAGTGCTGGAATTAAAGGTGTACACCACCACGCCCGGCATCTGATTTTATTTTTGAGACAGTCTTATATGATAACAGCCCTAAGAGGCTTAGAACCTATTATGTAATCCAGTCTAGTTTTGAACTTGTAATCTCCCCACTTCAGCCTCTAGAATGCTGGGATTATAGGCATAAACCACCATGCCTGGCTAGTAGGTGCTGGCAGAACATGAGCTCTGTCCCAGGGTCCAAATTTAAGATGATCAAGTGACAACTCCCACCATCTGGGTCTTGGAACTCTTGGGAGATGAAAGCCAAGGCAAGTGTGGAAGAGGCTGTAAAGATACACCCCACAGAGTGGCCCGTGGGCCTGGAGAATAGCTTCTCAGTTGTCCTGTCTTCCTGTTGTCCAAGAGGAGCAGAGAGTGTAGTTTTTTGTTTGGGGTTTTTGTTTTAAGATTATACTTAACATTGTTGATTTACTATTGGGTGGGCAGATACCAGAACTCAAGTGTGGAGATCAGAAGACAACCTGCAGGGGTCGGCTCTCTACTTCTACACTGGGTCCTGGGGATTCAGGTCATCAGGTAGCAAGTGCCCTTACCACCATCTCTATGGCACTAGTTTTTTGGGGGTTTCTTTTGGTCTTTTTGAGACAGGGTCTCCCTGTAGCCCCCGCTGACCTGGAACTCACTATGTAGACCAGGCTGGCCTTGAATTTACAGAGATCTGCCTGCCTCTGACTGGGATTAAAATCGTGTGCCCCCACAGCCAGCCAAAACCACTGAGGTTCAGGTGATAGAAATCAAACCTGGGTCCCCTGCAAGAGCAGCTAGTATCTTTAACTGCCAGGCCACCTCTGCAGCCTAGTTTTTTTTACATTTTTTTTTTCTTTGTGAATTTGTATGGTTTTTAAATACTGGCAATTGTGTTATCAGTCACTGAATGAGGCAACATGACTGTCATCTGGCTGCTCATGGTGACAGCTCTTCTGTGAGGACATACAATAAGAAGAGCTAACATGAGTGGAACATTCTTGCCTCATGCCTGGTGCTGGCTAAGCACTGTGTATATCAACTGACTTAGTCCCCTCACCAAGCCTGCTTTGTTTATTTTTTTTTTAATATATCTTTTAACAAAGCATAGGGGTTTATTTACAGAAGAGTGGGCACCCCACATTTATGGCTGCTTGTAAAGTCCACACTCAAATACAGATCCTGTGACCTGCTGACAGCCGCAGAAAATGGTAAGGGAGGTGCCTCTTGGTACCAGGCCTGCTTTGTGAGCTCTTTTACATATGGATGACTCTAGAAAGACCACAAAAACTAGGCTAAAAACACAGTGGACAGTGGAGGAGTTATGGTAACCTTACGACTGATCTGTTTAGAGAGAGTGAGGGAAGTCCAAATTTGAGACTTTAAGAATGAGTGATGAACCAGGCATAGTGATGCACACCTATAATCCCAGTACTTCGGAGGCTGAGATGGGAAGGTTGCTACAAGTATAAGGCCAGCCTGAGGCACATAGTGAGTGCCTGGCAGCCTGGGCTATATGATAAGACCCTATCTCAAGGGGAAAAAACAAAAACAAGGGACTGGAGAGATGGCTCCACAGTTAAACATGCTTGCTGCTGTTGCAGAGTTCAGTTCCCAGCATTTATATCAGGCACAACTGCTAGTAACTCCAGCTCCAAGGGATCCAGTCTTGCCTTTAATCCCAGCACTTGGCAAGCAGAAGTAGGTGGATCTCTGTGAGTTCCAGGCCAGCCAGGGCTACATTGTGAGACCCTGTATAAGTCAATCAATCTTTTTTTAAAGAAAAGGAAACAAAAGAGTGAGAGGTATATCCTTGAGTATGGCCTCTGACCCTTGTCCCTCACCTATGATGCAGCCCTCAAACAAAATGCTAATGCCGTAGAGGGCTGTCCTCAACCCCTGGGTGTGTGTTTTGGCCCCTCAACCACAAGAGGCCTGTGGAGCTCTCCCTGGCTCTGCACTGTTCTCTTTACCATGAGAGTATTCTGGGTGGGAAGCTGTGGTTGAGGATCTCAGGCTACTCAACACAGTAAGGTTCCTGTACTGTTCCTGGAGCCAGGCTGGGGGCTGGGGGCAGGGTACAGTATGTGGTGTGTGTTTCCCAGGGTCCATGAGCTGCATTTCATGGATGAGCTGATCAAGGTGGAGGCCCATGATGCTGAGGTGCTATGCCTGGAGTACTCCAAGCCTGAAACAGGTGAGCCTACAAGCATTGGGGGTAGAGGGCAAAGCCACAGAAAAGGGCAGCTTTGGGACTGTGGATGACAGCTGGAAGTCTTCAGTAAGAGCCCTGTTGCTAGACTCTGGGACCAAGGTGACTGAGACTTCACAAAGTCTGCAGGCTCATGCTGGTCCTAGAGCCTCATTAAGGCCCAAGTTAAAGACTGTGTGAATGAATGAATGTGTGAGAATGTGAAGGAGCTCATCATCCTCATCATCTAGAAAAGATGATAGATTGCTAGGCATTACTCTTTTGGGGGGGTGTCTTTTTGAGACAGGGGCTCCCTGTAGGTCCAGCTGGCCTGGAACTCACTATGTAGACCAGGCTGGCCTTGAACTTACTTAGATCTGCCTGCCTCTGCCTCCCGAGTGCTGAGACTAAAGGCGTGCACCACCACCCCTGGCTAGGCATTACTTTTAAAAAGTTGAATGCCTACAGAAAAATTGTAAAAACATTATAATGAATATGTACAAACCCTTGATCTAGAGTCAGGTTTTTCCCTTTTAAATCCAGTTGACCCTATGACTATATATATGACTTCTGCTTTCCATTATTCTGTGTGTTTACATATATATTCACACCACACATGCAATATAAGGGCGTATACGTTTTGTTTCTTTTGCTGAATGATGTGAGAGTTAGTTGTAGGCTTGATGCCCCAGCCCTCCAGTGCCTGAGAAGCAGTACGTCCATTTGTATGACTAGTGTGCTACGGATATTGCTCAGTGGTAGAGTGTTATCTAGCATGGTAGATGCCCTGGGTTCCATCTTAGTCATATATCCATATATTATTTTTATGCATATGCATATACACAAATCTACATGTATATATATATATTTATGTTTATATACATGTCATATGCACATGTGTACATATGACTGCAGTGCATCTATCAAATCTGGGTATTCCACTCTTAAGCAAGCCATGATCATTATTCAGATTTTGCCAGTTGCCCCAGTATTGTCCTTTATAACATTTTATTTTTTTTTATGTCTTATTTATTTATTTTATGTTTATGAGTATATTGCCTGAATGTATGTAAGTATACCCACATCATGCAGTGCCTGAGGAAGTCAGAAGAGGACATTTGATTGCCTGGAACTGGAGTTAGAGATAGTTGTTAGCCACCATATGGATGCTGGGAATTGAACCTGGGTCCTCTGCAAGAGCTCATGGTGCTCTTAACGGCTGAGCCATTAACTCCAGCCCCAACACTTTATTTTTCTAATCTAGGTTCACATTTTAGGTTGTCTAGGTGTTAATATTTTCTTTATTCTGGAACACTTCCACAGTCTTAATTTGACTTTCTGACTTTGGCATTCTGGAGAGTACAGGCCAGTCAGTCGTTTTGTAGAAGTTTCCTCAGTTTTGAGTTTGTCTGTTTTCTTCATCATTTGATTCAGATGATACATTTTTTGAATATATTTTATTTTATCTGTATGTGTTCTTTTTCTGTTGCTGTAATGAAATACTGTACCCAAAAGCAACGTATAGAAGAAAGGGTTTACTTCAGCTTATGGTTCCAAAAGGAGAGAGCCCATTAATGGTGGGGAAGGCATGGCATGGTGGCAGGAGCAGGAAACTGGCTGATCACATTTTATCTGCACACAGGAAGCAGAGAGAAGGAAGAAGCAGGAAGTAGGGTGATGCTATAAACCATCAAGTCCCACCTCCAGTGATGTACTTCCTCTAGCAGTGTTCCACCTCCTAAAGGATCCAAAACCTCCCCAGACAGCACCACCAAGTGTTCAAATACATGAGCCTATGGGGGACATTTCTCATTCAAACCACCATATTAGGCCAGGCATGGTGGCCTGTGCCTTTAATCCCAGCTCTCAGGAGACAGAGGCAAATGGATCTCTGTCTTGGAGTTCATGGCCAGCCTGGTCTACATAGTCAGTTCCAGGTCAGTCAGAGCTACATAGTGAGACTGTGTTCCAGAAACAGCCAGCCAGGCGTGGTGGTGCACGCCTTTAATCCCAGCACTCAGGAGGCAGAGGCAGGCGATCTCTGTGAGTTCAAGGCCAACTTAGTCTACATAGTGAGTTCCAGGCCACCTGGGCTACAGGGAGACCCTGTCTCAAAAAAAAAAAAAAAAAAAAAGACAAAAAAAAAACAAAACAGGCAGGTAGGCAGAAACCCCACCACATTGCCAGTCTAGGCGGAGCTCTATCCTTGTGTGGTAGATGAGGGTTCCATACAGGCTGGTGCTCTTCTGTTCTTCATACCCTCTAGTGTCTCCTGACTCATAGGCCTTACCTGAGCTTTTCCAGCCTTGGGGGTTATTGTTAGGCCTCAGTTCCACTATGTGACCAGAGCAGTCACAGTCTGAGGGGTCAGGGAGGAAGAAGGCTCTGTGAAAGGAGTGTGGCAACAAGTGGTCAGCAGGACTAGGCTGACGCCAGGGTGATCAGGGCTCAGAGCTGGGGCATGGTTTTGGGTGAGGCGGAAAGAATGTCTGGGCCTCCCATGGCATGCCATAGGGTCAGACTCATCAAGGAAGAATGCTGTGGCTTGCCAGAGTATCTGCTGCGATGTATATGGAACATCCACACATGCCAAGATTTGCCTTTTCTGAATGGGTAATAAGGACTTGGGGGCCTGGGGAAATGAGAGCTTGACCCTTTCTTGGTTTGGGCAACTTAGCTACAGCGCTGGAGCCAAAGACTCCCTTCTCCAAGGACTGGGCAGCTTCTGGCTGCCTTTTTGGGAGGCCGAGACATCCAGGCAGCTGGAACCCAGGTTCTTCCTCTCCACTCACAGGAGTGACCTTGCTGGCCTCAGCCAGTCGGGACCGACTCATCCATGTGCTGAATGTGGAGAAGAACTACAACCTGGAGCAGACTCTGGATGACCACTCCTCTTCCATCACAGCCATTAAGTTTGCTGGTGAGCTCCTTCCTCACTTGCAGGGCCTCTTTGTTTGCAAGTAACCACAAGCATAGAGATGAGGCTGGCCTGGAACGCAGAGAGATCTGCCTGCCTCTGCCTCTGCCTCCTGAGTGCTGGGATTAATGGTGTGTGCCACCACACCTGGCCTCACTTTTCTTTATTCAGCCCAGGATCCTTGTCCATGGGAGTGTGCAGCCCACATTCAGGATGGATCATCCTTCCTCAGTTACACCTCTTTAGAAATTTCCTCATAGACATGTCCACCGGTGTGTGTCTTAGGTGATTCTAAATTCATTCAAGTTGACAACGAAGATTAACCATTACGGGCTGGGGAAATGACTCAGTTGGTAAAGTGCTTTCTGTGTACTGAGGACCTGAGTTCTGGTCTCTAGCACCCACTTAAAAAGCTGGATATAAGCCAGGTGTGGTGGCACACGCTTTTAATCCCAGCACTCGGGAGGCAGAGGCAGGCGGATCTCTGTGAGCTCAAGGCAAGTCTGGTCTACATAGTGAGTTCCAGGACAGCTGGGGCTACAGGGAGACCCTGTCTCAAAAAGACAAAAAAAAAAGAAAAAAGAAAAAGCTGGGTATGGTGGCGCACACCTGTAATCCCAGGGTTGGGAGGCAGAGACTTGAGGATTCTGGGATCTCTGTAGCCTAGCCAATCAGTGAGCTCCAGACTTAGTGACTGTCTCAAAAACTAAGCTGGTAGTTAAATTTGTGGTTATTTCAGATACACTGAATAAAATGAGATGATGTTTAAAAATAAAATAAAATAAAAAAATAAAAACAAACTGGCAAGATAAAGACAGGCAGTTATGAATGTTTGCCACAAAGTCTGACCAACCCAAGTTTTAACCCCCAAAACCCACATGGTGGAAGGAGAGGGGCGGCAAGTTGTCCTTTGACCTCCACATGTGCATGTACAGTAAAATAAATGAATAAACAAATTTTTAAAACTAGGTGGAAAGCAATAGAGGAAACTATCTGACATTGACCCCTGGCCCTTACATGTGCACACAAAGGTACATACACCCACACATGTGCATACACCACACATACACATAAACACACACAAAGATGAACCATCACAACATAGACCTCATCTCAAAAAAAACAAAAATGTCAAAGTGAAAGAGCATTTTATATTTTTGTCTCTTCAGAAAAAGCAGGAGCTGCGTGTGGTGGTAAATGCCTGTAATCCCAGCCTTGAGACATAGTAGGAATTTGAAAGTTTGGCCCCACCTGATCTACATAGTGAATTCCAGGCTAGCATGGACTACATAGGGAGACCCTGTCTTGAAAAACACACAAAAAAGTAGAGGTCCAGATGACAATACAGTCAAGTATAGATGACACTAAAAAGAACGAAAAGGGGCTGGAGAGAAAGCTCAGCGGTTAGGAGCACTGGCTGTTCTTGCAAAGGACCCAGATTTAATTCCTAATACCCACATGGCAGCTAACAACTGTCCATAACTCCAGTTCCAGGGGATCCAATGCCCTCTTCTGACTTCCAAGGGCATTGCCGGACACAGGTGCACTTACATACATGCAGGCAATACACTCGTACACATATAATAAAAATAATTTTAAAAATATAAAGAAGAAAGATCTAGTAAAGTAGGAACACATAGACTCAATGGGTAACCCACAGTCTGACCTACAGTGGCCTTTCATTTAATAAATGGTCTCCATCCAGGATAATGACTGGCCAAAAGAACAGGCCACCTTCTGAGGGACCTGGCCCTTCACCAGAGCCCCTGGCCAACCTGAGAAGATGCAGCTCTAAACTGGGTTCCTGGTGCCCTGCACTGGTGGCTTGCCTCACCCTGGGCAGTGTCCAGAACTGATTGGTAAATGTGAACTGGGCTCTGGCCTTTCAGAAGCTCCCTGCTAAGGTAGGATGCAGTCTTTTAACTGTCTTCTGTGAAATACATATCCAGCCAGGTGTAGTAGCACACACCTGTAATCCTAGTACTTGGGAGGTATAAATAGGGAGTGGATCAGAGTTCAAGGCCATCTTCAGCTACATAACCCAGGCTATCCTGAAACTTTTAGCGCCAAGGATGACCTTGAGCCTGATCCTTTTGCCTCTATCCTTCCAAGTGCTGGGATTACAGGCAGCACCACCACCACTGACTTTCATTTTGTTTTTTCTTGCAGTGCTGAGATCTTGAGCATTTTAAACAAGCACTGTACCAATAAGCTACATCCCTGGCCCTTAGTTGTGTTTGTGTCTGTGACAGTGTCTCACTGTATAGCCCAGGCTAGCCTAGAACTTGAGTTCCTCAGTCTCCCAAGTGCTGGATTACAAAATGCTAGGATTAGAGGCATGCGCCACCACATCCAGCTCTCAAGATGTATCCCTAGTCTTTGTTTCCCTGTGTATGCTTGCTCTGCCCAGGCGTGCCTCCCCTGGGTTCAGCACTCTCCCACTCCTCGCCTCCTCCAGGAAGCCTTTTTTGTTGTTGTTGCTGTTTTTGTTGGGGGGGGGTGCTCTTTTTGAGACAGGGTTTCCCTGTAGCCCCAGCTGGCTTAGAACTCGCTATATAAGGCTAGAGAGAGGCTCAGGGGTTAAGACACTGGCTGTTCTTGCAAAAGGCCTGGGTTCCAATCCCAGTACCCACATGGCAGCTAACAACTGCTGGTAACTTCAGTTCCAGGAGATCCAACAGCCTCTTCTGTCCTCTGCAGGCACTGCACAACACGGGTGCACTTTACCTACATGCAGGCAATACATGCATATACACATAAAAATAAATAAATATTAAAAAAGAAAAGAAAAAGAACTTGCTATATAGACCAGGCTAGCTAGCCTCAATGTCACAGAGATCCACATGCCTCTGCTTCCTCAGTGCTGGGACTAAAGGCATGCTCCATCAAACCTGGCTCAGGAAGCCTTTCTGAATCTCAAAAAGTTGGTTGCTTACCCTGCAGTGGGATTCCTTAGCTCCTTATTCCCCAACCTGCACAGCATAGGCTAGCCCTGCCCAACTGCCTCCTCACCCCCTCAGGCACCAGAGATATCCAGATGATCAGCTGTGGGGCCGACAAGAGCATCTACTTTCGTAGTGCCCAGCAGGTAGGCGAAGTGGCCTCCTTGGGGGTAGGGTCAGGAGCTTGTCAGGGGTGTCCTCTGAAGGTCTTGCCTACCCTGCCAGACCTTGGACGGACTGCACTTTGTCCGTACCCACCACGTAGCAGAGAAGACCACCTTGTATGACATGGACATTGACATCACACAGAAGTACGTGGCTGTGGCTTGCCAAGACCGCAATGTGAGGTGAGGAGCTCCCTGTGCCCTTCGTTGGCCTGGTCTGGCCTGGCCCCAGTGTGTTTCCAACCAGGCCCAGCTGGGACTTCACTAGGGCTGTCTTCTCCTTTGCTGTCTGCGTTCCTCTCCTGTTCATCTAGTCCCTGAGAAGTTGGATTTAATTATCCCTGATTGATGGACCTAGTGGGTGTTCATTGAAGCCAGACTCCCAGCAGGGTGTGTGTTATAATTAATAAAAAGAAAGCCATACCAAAGAGATGGCTCAGCAGTTAGAGTACCTACTGCTCTTCCAGAGGACCTGAGTTTGATTCCCAACACCTAAGCAACACACAGCAGCCTGTCATCAGGATTGCACTCATGCACAAACCCACACGTACATATACACACACACACACACAATTTAAAAAATAATAACATTTTTTTCCTTTTTTTTTTTTTTTTTTTGTCTTATTGAGACAGGGTCTCCCTGTAGCCCCAACTGGCCTGAAACTCACTATGTAGATGAAACTCACTATGTAGATCAGGCTGGCCTCAAACTCACAGAGCTCTACCTGCCTCTGCTTCCCAAATGCTGGGACTAAAGGTGTGTGCCACCATGCCTGGCCAAATAACATATTTTTAAGAAATAGAAAGGTTCAAGGTTTATAGAAGAAAGCTGGAATGAAATTATCCTTCAACGGAGCTTTGTTAGGTGAGTTATAGACTCATGGCATGGACAGCCATGATAAGGCCCTGAGAGACAGCTACCATGTATTACATGATACAGGTCCTGAAGAGAGAGGCAGAACCTTCAGTCACCCAGAACATTCGGAGGGTTATAGCATCATGTCATATACAACAGGGTCCTGAAGGGAGAAAAGGCTTTCAATCTAGACTATTAGGAGAAGTTAGCACATTGTACTATAGACAGCCCAATGGGGTCCTGAAGGGAGCAACAGACCCCTCATAAGTTCCATAAGACAAAGGGGGTCTCTGGCTCCTTCAGGTTTCTGGAGGGAAGCAGGATAGAAGGTTCCATGTGACCTATAAGTTACAAGGCTGTGATGAAAGTAAATAATTCAGTTGTCTCACAGCTGTAATGGGGAGAGAAAGAACTCAGTTCTTTGTGAAAGTTACAAGGCCACAGCAACTCTGTGGCTGGCCAAGAGAGAGAAAAGAGAGAGAGAGAGTTAGAGTTGGAGTTGTTAGTTTGGGCTGATTTGGGGGAGAGAGTAGCAGCTAGAGGATCTGTGATCTCAGTGTGGTGGTGTGCTCCTGTAATCCCAGGACTTTGAAAGCAGAAGTAAGAACATCATCAGGAGTTCAAGACCAGCCTTGGCTGAATGGTAATCTCAGAGTCCCTTGGCTACATGAGACCCTGTCTCAGAAAAAAATAGAGTGAGAATATAAATGAATGAATGAATGAATGAGTGCATGAGGGTTTCACCAGACTTAGCCACCAGATCTGCAGGCTTGTGGCTGTCCCCTAGAAGCTTGTGTGGGTGGCCAAGAAGTTACAGACTCATCACTCCTTCACATCTTATTGAGCCCCATATGGGCTGGTCTCAGCAGTGGCTGGGCAGCCATCCCTCTTCATGTAGCTCACTGCTCACTGGAGGCCAGAGTGCCAGTGAAGTGCAGAGTGGTCAGGGGTGTGGTGGGAACCTTGGAGGTTGTGAGTGGTCTGGAGGAATGGACAGCAGGTCAAGCCTGGGGAGTGTGTTCTCTGCCTCTTTCATGGGCTCTGCTCTAGTTTGCTTTTGCTGTGTGATAAAACACTGACCAAATTCATCTTGGGGAGGAAGGGGTTTATTTCTTCTTACAGTCCATCATGGAGGGAAGCCAGGGCAGGAACTGAAGCAGGAACAGAGGAGTGCTGCCTACTAGCTTCCTTCCTGGCTTGCTCAGCTGCTTTTCTTTTATTTATTTATTTAATTTATTTTATTATTATTATTATTATTATTATTAGTCCAGACTGGCCTTAAGGCTGCAATGTAGTTGAAGATGACCTTGACCTTGAACTCCTTGTCCCCTCACTTGAGTGCTGGGATTACAAGTGTGTGCTGCCATACTCAGTTTGCAAACATTTATTTATAATACACAGAGCAGGCGGTGCATTCAAAGTTGTGGGAGGCACAGTCTCTCTCTGCTTTCAGTCCGTTTTTACATAGTGTGACTGGATTAGCAAACTGTCAAAATAATCATGCTAACTGGCCTTGAACTCACAGGAGATCCACCTGCCTCTGCCTCCCAAGTGCTGGGATTAAAGGCATGCTCAGGCCTCTCTGTGCAGTGATGGGACCACCTATGTCAATTAGCAACCAAGAAAATGCCTCACAGACATACCCACAGGCCAGTCTGATAGAGAAAATTCCTTAATTTAGGCTCCCACTTCTGGGGTATGTCTAACTGTGTCCAGTTGACAAGAACTAACTGGCACAAGCTCCTTATACCTGGGGCTGAGCCCTAAGCTTGCTGGGAAAGGGAGCAGGCACTAACTCAGAAACACTCCAGTATATAACCTCTACCTCAGCCCAGGCATCAGATGGAGGCAAGAGGTAGCAGAGCTTCCAGGGCAGAGGAGCATGGCAGGAGCCAGGGGAAAGCAGGGTAGGGTGGAAGGGGCTCTTAAGCCCCACATTGCATCCCCCCTCCCAGGGTATACAACACTGTGAACGGCAAGCAGAAGAAGTGCTACAAGGGCTCCCAGGGTGACGAAGGGTCCCTGCTGAAGGTGAGTGGGCGTTTCTAGGTAAGAGCTACACAGAGCCCTGTCCAGCTACCTCAGACCTGTGTCCTTGGTGCTTAGTTAAGGGATCACATGCTGGATAGCACCTGCTCAGGCCTGGCTACCCAGGATGCTTGAGTTGGGGTAGAGGGAGGGGCTCTAGTTTTGAGTGGCAGTAGGGTGTGGTGGGAAGAAGCAAAGAGGCCTGCACTCCTGTCCTGACTTGGGACCCACCAGACACAGGACAGGAGGGTGCATCCCAGAGCCTTTGACCCAGGGGAGTTATTCTGAGTTCAGGCTCCAGGCTCAGATCCCAACTCTGCCTCTGCCTGTGTAACCTTGGGCAGGTGTTACCTCTTAAGCATGTTTCATCATCTGTCAAATGCAAATGAAACAGCTTCTGTCCTAGGGTTGTATTCTGGAGGGTTAAGTTTGCAGGCATGCAGCACTTAGCCCAGGTCCTAGCCACCATCATTACTACCCTGGTGGCTGCTCATTTCACCTGCAGATGGGAGCAGGAGTTCCTGCCCTGCCAGGGTGTGTCACAGAAGGGCTTGAGACAATTCCCTATACCAGGTGTCCAGCACAAAGGGGAGTGAGGTATTGAGATGTTTGGCCCAGGCTTCCCAGTAGGCAGCCTGAAGTAACTACATTTGACTCTTTCCACAGGTCCACGTGGACCCCTCAGGCACCTTCCTGGCCACAAGCTGCTCAGACAAAAGCATCTCAGTGATTGACTTTTACTCTGGTGAATGTGTTGCCAAGATGTTTGGCCATTCAGGTGGGTGTGGCTCTGCCCTTCCACCCCTACCTCCCACAGCCTGACTCAGTAAGGGCAGTGTCTCTGCTTCGCTTGCAGAAATCGTCACTGGCATGAAGTTCACCTATGACTGCCGTCACTTGATCACGGTATCTGGAGACAGGTAGGACAGGTGTGGAGGCTGCCCTTGGCTGGGCCTCCCTCTGGGCATGGGTGGGCATACGCTAAGGGCAAACGGATTCAGACGCAGCATGCTGTGCTTGCAGCCTACCTGTGTGGAAAGTACTTCAGAGCTTCCTAGCTTACTCCCACTTTGAGTAGTGTGTCTGCACCTTGGTGTCACATCCACCCTGAGTTTCATCCTGGATCTGTCACTTAACTTTCCTATGACCTTGAGAGGCCAGTTCTCCTTTCTGAGCCTCAGTTTCTTTTTCTGTAAAAGAGCAATACTACCATCCATCTTGGAAACTGTGATGAGAATTGAACAGATGATATATAAACCCTGTATCATGAGATTGATCCCTTTGATTCACAGCTCTGTCCCCAAAGCCCCTGTTCTTGAGTCTTGAGGCTCCAGAGCAGGCTCTGGTTTGCGGGGATATAGATCAGACAAAGTCCTGAGCCCTTGTGCTAAGTTGACGGGTTGTCTGGGGAGTGGGATCTTGGTGGTTGTGACCCAGGGGACTGGGGCTCCAAGCTTAGACATGGCAGTGACTCTCATGTGTGCTGTCCTCTCTTTGTGCCCGGCCTCTGCAGCTGCGTGTTCATCTGGCATCTGGGCCCAGAGATCACCTCCTGCATGAAGCAGCACTTGATGGAGATCAACCACCAGGAGCAGCAGCGGCAGCCCAAGGACCAGAAGTGGGACAGCCACACCAGGTCTTGACAACCCCACGAGGCATGACACTGGAGAAGTGGCCAGGGCCAAGACAGCACTGGGCCCTGCCCTTAGTATAGTTTGGCTGGGTGGGGATGGTAGACTTTGAAAAACAAGCTTCCAGCGACACACAAGAAAGGTTTCAAAATGTAGAAGCCTCATGCTTGGTGAGCACAGTGATGGAGAAAGCCAGGGACCAGGGCCTGACTTGGCTCACAGTGGGGAGGAGGGCTCAGGAGTTGGCTGTGGTGAAACTGAGCGTCCTCAGTGTAGAGCTGGTGGTCCTTCACTTGTGTGAGTCTCCTAAGCGTATACTTCTTTAGTCTTTATTCCTCACACAGATTGTTTGGAGTGAATTTGGGTTCTGATTTTTGACAGATTGTTGGCTGTATAGCCCAAGCTGGCCCTGAACTCAAGGCAGTAAGTCCTCTTGCCTCTGCCTGCCAAGTATTGGAGTTACAGGCATGAGCCACAGTACCCAGCTCAGGTTCTGATTCGTGACTGAAGGTGTTGGGAAGTACTCATTTTTAGTGAGAAGTGTTTTAGGGTTTCTTCTCTGCTGCCTCTGGGTGTGGCCCTGTCTCTCCTTGGAAGCTTTGCTGTGACCTCCCAGGTGCCTCTGGACTGAGCCCAGCTACGGGGCCTGAGGTGATACTGGAGATGTCACAGGCTAGGGTGTCAACTGAGTGTGCAGCTCCCCTTGGGGCTTGGTTTTGAGGCTCACACCCTACTGTGTGGCTACAAGCAGGGTCCTGGCTGAAGTGTGGCACAGGCCCAGCTCTAGGCAAGCCCCTACCTACCCCACCTTACATATATTTCTTTCCTTTCTGCCTGCTTTCCTTTAGCCAGGAGACATATGTGACCTTGCCCAGCAAGATTGGCTCCCTGAGCCCTGGAGAACAGACAGAGGATGAGATGGCAGAGGACTGTGACCCAGAAGAACTGCTGAAAACGCCTTCCAAAGAGAGCTTGGATCCAGGTAGGGAGGAGGGCCCATGTGCAGGAGCCCTGCTTTGAGCTCCAGTGGCCAAAGAAATCATTGCTGGAACTTACCCATTTCTTGCTTTGTGTCCTGTACATACTGAAGCTCCATAATGTGTCTGTCAAAACTCAGTATCTTGCCAACCAGACTCTTGCTGGCTTGTGCTAAACAGAATTTTTTGGTTGATGTAACTGAAAAATCAAGATTGGTTTCAGGCACGGCTGGATCCAGGTAGTCAGGTGACACTCATTTTCCAGTGAGTGTTGTGATGCATGCTTGTTGTAATCCCATCACTCTGAAGGTAGAGGTAGAGAAACAGAAGTTCAAGGCCAGCCTCAGCTACATAATAAGTTTGATGTAGAAAATGCCAGCCATGTCTACATGAAACTTTAAAAGAAAAAAAAAAAACATTTTGCTGGATGTTGCTGCTCATCCCAGTTCTCAGGAGGCTGAGGAAGGAGGATTGTAAGTTCTCCAGCCTGAACTACATAATGAAGCCCTCTCTCAAAACCAAAAAGAAAGAAAGTAAATGAAGATATTTTTCTCCATCTCATGGCTGTTCTCTTCAGGTCGTTTTCTTGTGCGCATACAGACTCTCCTTTTCTAGGGGAGGAACTTCCTGTAGCAGCTGTAGATTTATGAAACTGCAGAGAAATGTACTCTACACTCTTTCCTAATATCTCAAGCAAAGTTCTGGGCTCATGTTTCTGATACAAACCATGGCCCATTTCTGAATCAATCACTGTGATAGACCAGGCCCAAGTCATGTGATTGGTACTGAGGCCTGAGGCTTTAGTCAGCTTCACTCAAAGCACCTGACCAAGATGGGGAATACAGGGGGGCTAAGGGAGTTCCCCAGGGCAAAGCAGGGTACTACTAACAGAAGATAGAACAGATTGTTTGTCTACAAAAGGGAAAGCACTAGCTCAACTCCATGAAACACCAGTTCTGTCCCTGCCTGATCCCCTACATCTGCCCTTATAGTTGCAAGATGGCTGCTTAAGGTCCAGGCATCAGAAATGGTAAAGGATGAGTGACAGGCCCCTCTCAAGAATCTCCTTTAGATGATATTCTTAGCTGGGCCTATGGTGCAGGCCTGTAATCCCAGCTATTGTAGCCCTAGCTGGCTTAGAACTCACCATGTAGACCAGGCTGGCCTCGAACTCACAGAGATCCACCTGGCTCTGCCTGCCACCTGAGTGCTGGGCTTAAAGGTGCGTGCTACCATGCCTGGTTAGTTTTTCTAATTTCACACCACACTGTGATGGAAGCTGCACCCCACTTGGCCACCTTCTTGGGCAGCTGACTGATTTTCCAGAACAGATACCGGGTCCTTCTGTTCGTACTTTTGTTCTGTTAGGATAGATCTCCCTGTAGCCCCAGCTAGCCTGGAGCTCACTTCTGTAGACCAGGCCATGCATCAGTGCTATGCACCAACCTCCAGTGTTTTAAAAAAGAACCCCAGGAGCTCTCCAAATTCAGTTGGCTACCCTATCCAAAATTGTGTTACCCTACCCCCACTTCTTTTTTCACAGTGCTAGGGATTGAACCCAGGACCTTGCACATGCCAGCCTAGCACTGTGCTACTGAGTTCTATCCCCAGCACTCCCCACACTCTCTGTTTTGGTGTTTTGAAATGGGTTCTCACTTTGTAGGCTGGGCTTGCCTGTAGCCCCAGCTGGCCTGGAACTCACTGTGTAGACCAGGCTGGCCTTGGACTCACAGAGATCCGCCTGCCTCTGCCTCCCTAGTGCTGGGGATTAAAGGCAACTGCCACCATGCCCAGCCTTCTTTTTTTTTTAAGATTTTAAATATGTGCACATGTGTCTGTGCACGTGTGTGCAGGTACCCATGGAGGTGAGAAGAGGGTGTTGGATCTCTTGGAGCTGGAGTTACCGGCAATTATTAGCCACCCTACGTGGATGCTGGGGACTGAACTTAGGTTTTCTGCAAGAGCAGTACACACTCTTAACTGCTGAGCCATCTCTTGAGGCCCTGGCCCCTGAACACTTGATCTTCTTGCCTCAGCCTCCTCCATGCTGAGATTACAGACATACCACTGCACCCAGCTTCCCACTCCCTTTTTTCGCCTTTTTTTTACCAGTGTGTCTTATTGTCTGCATTTTAGCTAGTGAGATTATCTTTTTATATTTTAATTATTTTTATGTGTATGAGTGTATTGCCTACATGTGTATAAGTGCGCCTGTGTCATTCATTTTTCTGCAGAGGTCAGAAAAAGGTGTTGAATTCCCCTGGAAGTGGGGTTAAAATTGTTGTTAGCCGCCATGTGGGTGCTGGGAATCAAATCCAGGTCCTCTGTAAGAGTAGCCAGTGCTCTTAGCCACTGAGCCATCTCTCCAGCCCGAGATTGAGCATCTTTTGATCCATGAGTTTGCCTCTCCTTTGGAAAATGCCCAGTTGTATGTATTGCCCATTCATCTCTGAGGTTGCTTATCCTGTCTTCATGTATCCCATGTGTCTTTGCAGATCCTCAGTGCCTGCTGACCAACGGCAAGCTGCCACTCTGGGCAAAGCGGCTGGTGAGTCTCCTGGAATGGAATGCCTAGGGACTGGCAAAGGAATCACCCTCTGTTCTTCCTTCAGGAAGCCCTCTTCTTTTTCATGTATGTCCTTTCCTCGGAGAACCCTGTCACACTGTCATTCTCAGCTCAGGCAGCCATTGGTTTGTGCACCTGTGTGCCCCAGGCCTGCTGCTTTCTGGCTGTTGGAGGTAGAACAGTGAGCAAGGCAGTCTCACTCTTCCCAGGCTCACTTGCCCATAAAAGGACATGGGGAAGGGACAGTAGCCACATTAAATAAGTAAGACATATAGTATGTTGGGAGCTGATACATGCTGGAGAGGAAAAGACACTGGGGAAGAAAATAAGGGAATGTCCAGAATGTCAGTTTAGGGGCAAGTGGAACCTGGGAAGGTAGTAACACAAAACAGATCAAGAGACAAACAGGGAAGAGGCCTAGAGGAGAGGCTGAGGATGGATCAGTAAAAGAAAATGATGGGTGGGTTTCTAGAAGGATATTAAGGCTAAGGCCAATCAGTTTGATATGAGGAAAAGAAAACATACCAAGATAGCATTAAGTAGAAGGAATAATTATTGACATGGATGATAAACAGGCTAGGAACTGGTGGGCAAGAAGCTGGTAGTGGAATCCTAACCTCTAGCCAGGCCTGGTGATACAGACCTGTGATCTCAGCTACTCAGGAGGCTGAGGCAGGATCACAAGATCAAGGCCTTCACGGGTGATGGAATGAGTTCAAGACCATCCCGGGCAACTTAGTAAGACTCTGACTTGAATTAAAAAGTAAGTCAGGCATGGTAACTGGCATACACCATAATCCCAACATTTGAGAGGTATAGGAAAAAGCATCAGTATAAGTCCAGACTATGCTACATGGATGATTCAAGGCCAGCTTGAGCTACATGAGACCCTGTCTCAAAACAAATAGTGTTAAGAATATACCTCTGCTGGGTATGGCGGTGTACACCTTTAATTCCAGCACTCGGAGGCCAGAGGATCTCTGTGAGTTCCAGGCCAAATGGGGCTACAGGGAAACCCTGTCTCAAAAAGACCAGCAGACAAACAAGATAATAAGTAAAAAGAAAACTAGAAGTTGGGGTTATAAGTGGTAGAGCACTTGTCAGGGCAGGAACCTGGAGCACAGACCATGGAGGAACACTGCTTACTGGCTTGATCCCCAGCCCAGTGCTCAGCCTGCTTTCTTATACAGTAGGACCACCTGCCTGGGGGTGGCACCACCCACAGTGGGCTGGGCTCTCCCACATCACTCAACAATAAGAAAATGCCTCACAGATATGGCCACAGGCCAGTCCAATGGAGATAATTCCTCAGCTGAGGTGCCCTTCAGCCAGGTGTGTCAAATTGACACTAAAGCTCAAATTTAATCCCAGTACTTCAAAAAGCAAAAAAGGTTTTCGAGTTTACTTCATACCTAAGGTCGTGACCTTAATGCTCACACAGGCCCCAGGCTTCTTCTTGCCTGCACACATTATAGAATGACATTTGGTAGACATTAATAGCACACTCCATTTAAAAAAAATTTTTTTAATTTTTATTTTATGTGTATGAGTATATTGCCTGCATGTATGTAAGTGCACCTGTGTCATGCAATGCCCATGGAGGTCAGAAGAGGGCATTGGATCTCCTGGAACTGGAGTTACATATGGTTCTTAGCCACCATGTGGGTGCTGGGAATCAAACCCAGGTCCTCTGCAAGAGCAGTCAGTGCTCTTAACCACTGAGTCATCTCTTCAGCCCCCTCTTACTCCATTTTAATAAGCCTTCTACATTCTCTCATTTAATCCTCACTGAGATAGGGGCTTTTCCTCTCCCCATTTCATAGATAGAAAATGTGAAAATGCCCAGAGAATTTAAGCAGTCACACAGCTGGGCATTAGAAAATGTGAAATCAACCCAAGGCAGGCTGGCTCCAGAGCCTGTGTTCCCAGCCACCCTCTACCATCTCCAGCAACAGTTTGGTAAGAGGCAGCTGTTGGCAGGACGGAGATGGGGCTGTGGAGAGAGAGCTGTATTTTTGGTTGTTTGAATAATTTGCAGGTGAAATACAAAGTGAAATGTAAGCGATGGACTAAGAGGGAGGAAGAATGATTCCACTGTTCGGGGCCTAGAACTGCAAAGAACCACTGAGGCTGGGAAGACTTCAGGAGGGGCAGATGTGGGGGATCAGGACTAGAGTTTCTAACGTGTAAGCTTAGAGACATCCATGTGGAAATGCGACATGGCTTCAGTAAGAGGTTCAGAGCCCAGCCTGGTGGTTCTCACCTGTAATCCCAGCTCTTGGGAGGCTGAGGCAAGAAGACTGGCTACATGTAAGCTCCAGCCAGCCTGGGCTCCACAGTGAGACCTTACCTGAAAGAGAAAGGAAAGAGAGGAAGGTAGGTAGGTTCAGGCTGGAGATCTATTTCTGGAAGCTGTTTCTTAGAGGTGTTTACAGCCAAAAGACTGGCTGAGAGCAGTGCCGTTTCTGTAGCTTTTGTTGCATATAATGAGCACATGGCTGGCTTCCTGACCATTGTCCCCTGTCCCTCCAGCTAGGAGATGATGATGCAGATGGCTCAACCTTCCACGCCAAGCGTAGCTACCAGCCGCATGGCCGTTGGGCAGAGCGAGCTGAGCAGGAGCCCCTCAAGACCATCCTGGATGCCCAGGCCCTGGATTCCTACTTTACACCCATGAAGCCTGAGGGTCTGGAGGACTCTATTCTGGACACAGTGGAACCACAGAACCTATCGGGTCTACTGAGCGAGGTATGCCTGTCCCCCAGCCTACTGGCAGCCCCCCTGCACTGGGGTTGTCCACCAACTTGGGGCCTCATTTGTAAGCAGGACTGACTATCCCACTTATGGATGAGGAGAAGGTGATGGGGATGGTGGAGGGCAGGAGGGTGAGCCCTGGGCTTGGTGTGTTGTGTGATTTCCTTGGGCAGACAGGCAGTGGGAAGTGGCTCACTTGTGAGTTAAGAGCTTGTGTTGCAGGGCAGGCCTTTCCTGAGTGGGGAACATGGGTGGGCTAGAACCCTGGATTAGTCCCTTCCTGCCTCTGTGTCCTGAGGTGAGAAACTTGCCTCTCTGGCCTTAGTTTTCCTCAGAGGATGCACGAAAATCCTGGGCTGGCAGCAGGCCAAGGACTCTTGAGATACCAATTAACTTTAGCTCTTACTTCCTTTTCTATAGCGAAGTCCTTTTCTAACACTTTTATTGTCATACACAATGTCTACAAAGTAATTAATGCTCACGTCTCAGGTACACAGTTTGGTGAACTGTCTATGTAACTCATATGTACTTGCCACCCTCATCAAGCCAGAGCATTTTCAACCTCCTGGAAGATCCCTTGTGCCCCAGTCCATACCCCTCACCCTACCTAAGGGAACCCACATTCTAACCTGTCCCCATGGACTGGTTTGCGTGTTCTTGACTGTCCTGTAAACAGAGAGGGACAGGCCTCTTCACATTTTGCGAGCCATATCTACTTATCTGTAAAGGGGTTGGTAATGCCAGGGTGGAGAAGGAGCCCTGGTTGAGCAGTGCACTGTGCACAGTCCCTGGCTTGGTGTTTGGCAGTGGGGGCTGTGGGATCGCTCCTTCTCTGCCACTCTCAGAGTAACACCTGGCAGCCTGCAAGGCCTTGGGTGCCCCAGCCACCTCAGAATGGCTCTGTTCTTCACCCCCAGTCAGAGAGTCCCCAAGAGAACAGTGGTGGACATTCCTCCTTCCTGCCTCTACAGAGGAAATCCACTGAGACAAGGGAACTCATCCTCCACTCCCCAGAGGTAGAGGCAGAAGTGACAGTCACAGAAATATGTAGGTGAGTGTCCTTTGAACCAAGGGGAGCCATAGTTGGAGAGGGAAAGCCCTTTCTAGAAGGATGGGCCCACTTGGAAGAGCTCAGCTCCCCCAGAGGCCTGAGGGAATGGGCACAGTTAGCTCAGGGACTGTGGCTCAGATGGGGTGGAAACCTAGCCCTGTGGCCTCAGCTGCAGCCTCAGTTTCCTTGGTCCTAGGTGGGGTGAAGGGGGTTTGGCTGGAAGGGAGGCAAAAGAGGCTGAGACAGAGCTCAGTGGGAACAGGGTGTGGGGCTCAGTTTCTGGGCAGGAGCCAGGTGCTAATTGCCCATGTAACCCCACCCCTGATGGTGTTGCAGTGAGTACTGCCAGAAGGAAGCAGAGGCAGAGCCTGAAGACCAGCAAGGCGACCCCTACCTCAGAGTTTCCTCCATCAGCTCAAAGGATCAGAGCCCACCTGAAGGTGAGTGGAGAGTAGACAGGCACCTCGGTGGTCTGTGATGGCCCCCTTCCAGGCACTGATCCAGTTCTCCCAAAGCTCAGAATGCCACAGAAGACAGATGTGGTCCCTACCATTACGTGAGGATGCTGAGTCCACAAGCTGAGCGAGCACCCAGCTCTGCCACCTTCTTGATGTAGAACTTGGTGGCCCATAAAAATGTACTGCCTACACCCCATCCTCCAGATAGGGAAAGGAGGCCCAGAGCAGCTAAGCCACGTGCCCTGTCCCAGCTCCTGAGCCCTACTCTGTTCTTTCAGATTCTGCAGAGTCAGAGGCCGAGTTGGAATGCAGTTTCACCAATGTCCATTTCTCAGCTCCACAACCTAACCCTGACCCTGGTCTCCCCATGATGATCCCCAATGAGGCAGGTAAGCCAGATATAAAGAACTCCATCGGCCCTGAGCCTGTTTGCTCACCTGGAGGACTGGCATTTCCTTCCCAGCCTTGTAGCAACAGGGTGTGTGGCAGGCGAGTCCAGCTTTTTCCATTGTCAGGTGGCGTCTGCCATGACTCATGGTGCTGACAGCTCTTCTCTCCCCACCCCGTCTCTCATCATCAATCTCCAGAACTCCCAAGTACAGAAGAGCTGTCCCATTCTGAGGTGCCGGGCTTGGCCAGTGGCTCCTTGCCCCAGACCCCTGAGCAGGAGAAGTTCCTCCGCCACCACTTTGAGACGCTTACGGATGCCCCTGCTGAAGGTAGGACCTGACCCTGTACCCAGTCTGTGTGGCTGTCTCCAGTGCTGGGCACAACATAGATGTCCTGGGATAGAGTCTTCCCTGGTAGAGTGGTAAAGGCCAGGAAGTGTGGAAAGCAGACCTCCAAAGGACTGCTGCAGGTGCTTCCTTCCTCTCCCTTCACACCTGAGGCACCTAGGGTGACCTGACAGGCCTGGGTTGACCTGCGTCCAGGGTTCCTTGGCTGGGATTCTGAGGCTCCATCAGTGTCTTTCTAGAGCTCTTTCATGGATCACTGAGAGATATAAAGCTCTCAGAGGCTGATGACTATTTCTTCAATCCCCGGCTGAGTATCTCCACCCAGTTTCTATCACGCCTCCAGAAGACGTCCAGGTAGAATCCAGTAACCTCCACATCTTCCTCCCCCTACCCCCTCCCCAGCCTCAAGTAGAGCTGCATCCCTCAGTCACCCAGGGAAGGCTATATGAGTGTCCCTTTCCCTTTCCCATCTGGCTTCCTCCCCCAGGTTCCCTCCCCGGCTGCCCCTGCACCTTGTAAAGTCTCCAGAGGTCAAGTCTACAGGCCAAGCGGGTAGCCAACCCAAAGCAGGGCTCCTGAGAGCAGGTACTGGCTACACCTCCCCAGACAAGACTGATGTGAGTATTGGGGCCACTCCTTCAGGTCACAGGGCTGCAAGCCAGGAGGCCTTGTCCTCACCTCAGAGCTGTGCTTGCAGGTCCTCTCAGGGCAGAAGGCTAAGGAGACTCGAGAGGCCTGGTACCCACCCAGTAAGTGTCCCCAGTCCCAGATGAACAGCCCTTGGGTGTCCATCCAGACCCTGAAGACTCCCTGGGGCAGGGCTCTGGGCAGGTGTGAGAGTGAAACATGTGCTTCTTTTCCAGCCCCTTCCTTCACAGGCCTGGCATCCCACATCCCTTCTTCCTCCGTGCCACCCGCAGACAGGAAGCCTCCAACATCCACGTCTGTACCTGCCCTAGGCCTGGATCAGGGTGTCTGCACCCCTTCTACCTGTTCTTACTTGGACACCACAACTAGCTCCCGTGCCAAAATGTCACGTAGCAACTCCCTTGGGGACAGTGAGAGCCCTGTGACAGCTGAGCTGTCCAGGCCACTCCATAGGCCCTCATCCATGGGGGAGCTGGCTTCCCTGAGCCAGGACCTCAAGGCCATCCCTGCCACAGTGACACCCGCTTCTAGCAGTGAGGGTCAAGAGCCTACTCTGCCTTCCTGGGGCAACCATGAGGCCCGGGCCAGCCTGAAACTGACCTTGTCCAGTGTCTGTGACCAGCTCCTGTCTCCACCCCCACTGGAGCCACCCACCACATGTATATGGTCCCAGGAGCCTCTAGATACCCAGCTTGGTATGGCGGACACAGCAGCCCGCTTCCCAGTCCCTAGCCCTGTAGATATGAGCACCCTGAGGCTCCACAGCTCTACATTTCTCCCTAAGGCCCTAGTCTTTAGGCCCCTTGCTCCTTCTGCCCACCACAATAGCCCCCAACTTCCAGAGTCCAGGCCTGGGGTCCCTGGTAGCACCACCTCTCTCCTGGAGCCCAGCCCTGGTGAGTACTGCCTTTGTGACAATAACAGCCCTAGCCCCTCCCCTGTGTGCTGGTTGACTCTTCTCCCAAGCTGGTCACAAAGACTGTGCTGTTCATCCATTCATCTTGTTCACTATTTACATGTTTCATGAGATATGCTGGGCTTTGTTCTAGACCCTGGGCACATGAGACATGGTGACAAAAAAGGGCAGAAAGTTGATGCCTTAACTAACAGAGATGCCCAGATAAAACCTACAGTGTCAGGTGAATCACAAAGTCATGCAAGCTACTGAGAGAAATGAGACAAGGGGATTATCAGTATGGCCTTGTTTCTAGGGAATGGAGACACAAGGCTTTAAGGAGAAGGATATATCCAGCCATCAGAGCCTTGGGGGAGGGGGAGCTTTGAGATCTGAAGAAAGTGCTCCTAACAGAGGGCCAACAGTAGAATCATCCCAGGCCAGCCAGAAAGTTGAAATGTCTTTGTCATTTGATTTTCTCCACCTCTAGATGTACCCAACATGGCCCAGGATAGCCCAGGACACTGTGGGGAACCCTGGATGCCAATTGAGGTGCTGTCCCCAGCACCCCTTGAGCTGGGTAGTGTGGAAGCCATCTTGCACAGGCTGAAGACTGCCTTCCAAGAAGCCCTTGACCTTTACTGCATGGTAAGCTAATGAGCCCAGGGTGGTATAGGAGAGTGGAGAGAGTTCACACTGCCTGCCTGAATGTCCTCCTGACCAGCTTGCATTCTTTACAGCTGGCCTCCAGCAAGCAACTGGGCCCCAAGCAGCAGCAGGCACAGACTGAGCTGGCCTCCACCTTCCACTGGATCCACAGCCAGCTGGAAGCTAGAAACTGGCTGGCTGAAGCCGACTTAACCCCACCCCAGACACTGCCCAGCCCAGAGCCCCCAGCCCCACCTACACTGTGTCCCCTGGCTAGCACAGACCTGCAGGCCCTGCTAGAACACTACTCAGAACTGTTGGTGCAGGCTGTGCGGAGGAAGGCACGGGGGGACTGAGCCCACAGTCCCTCCACTACAGCCCTGCTGCTCTGAAGAAATCTATTTTTTAAGCCAAATAAACTGACAGTGGTTCCCTAAAACTTGTCCTGGCCCATCTAACAAAGCCCTCCTCAGTGGATGCAGAGGGAGGGTATAGGGTCATGCCTTGATAGATCAGCCTCAAGATTTATGTTTGCTTCAGCACCTGTCATCGGGGAACATGAGGCCAGTGATAATGGTGACAGACCTCCCATGTGGCCTGTCCCTATATAGTACATTGAGTTGCTGAAGGGGTCATGTGTGCTCCTTGCCCTTTGGGGCCCAGCTATATCCCAGCAAGGAGCTAGCCTCTCTAACCCCTTCACTGTTTACAAACTCACCAGAACTGCTATAGCCACCAGGGGCCTGACCTTTTCCACAGTATGCACACTGCTACACCATTTTCTCAAGGCTCTATGCCAGATCTACACTGGATACTTCAGGGTCTGGGTCTTCTGCACCAGGAGAAATGGAAGGCAAACATACCACTGAACAGTCTGAAGCAGGCCCAGAGCATCCAGCTGCTGGGGCCTGTGATCCCATCCCAGGGATCAAGAAGACTGGGTTCAGCTCGAGCCACCAGCTCCCTCAAGCAGCAAACATCCAGCCACATGGTGTGATCCTAAGAAGGCCAGTCTCATGACCACAAACACTCTGTCCCAAATCCCTGCACAAAGGAACCTAGCAGTGAGGCTCTCTCCTAAAACACAAGGCTGCATGTGGCCCACATGGTCTTAGGATTCTTCCTTGCCCTGTTAGTCATAGCCTACCAGAGGCAGGCCTGTTTCCTGCTCAGTTCTCCTGAGCAAATACTCAAACCTAAGTTGAGTGACAGAGCTGGACCCTTCACCATGAGGACACAGCTCTCTGCAACCAGGACGTGACACACATCAGGACCATTCATGCAGTTGTTCAGAAATTCCTGCCAACTTCCAAGTTCATATCCCTGCTTTATACCGTATTTATGTGTGAGACAGGAACAGGTCAGGCAGTCATCTATCCTTAAGGAAATATCCTAGAAAATTGAAGACATAGGAATTAGAACTATGTCCATGAATTTTTGTTTTGTCTTTTTGAGACAGGGTCTCTCTGTAGCCCCAGCTGGCCTGGAACTCTGCCTCCCAAGTGCTGGGATTAAAGGCATGCACCACCATGGCCAGAATTTTTAAAATTATGAGTGTATTGCCTGCATGTAAGAGCATCTGTGTCATGTAGTGCCTGAAGAGGTCAAAAGAGGGTGTCCGATCCCCTGGAATTGGGAGTTATAGACAGTTGTTAGCCACCATGTGGGTGCTTGGAATCAAACTCAGGTCCTCTGCAAGAGCAGTCAGTGCTCTGAACCCCTGAGCCATCTCTCCAGCCCCAGTGTCCATGAAATTTTAGTTGGGGATTTCACTATGAGAGTTGAAGAATCAAGGAAGGCCTTTCATAGGTGTCATGGGAGCTAAAGCTTGACAAGGCATTTTGGGAATATAGCTCAGCCAACAGAGTAGCTAGAACAAAGGCGCTATGGAATGTGCTGGGAATAGCAGTATAGCTCAGAAGACAGGAATGGGGGCAGGAGGGAGGAGGGGAGGTATTTCCATCACTGACCAAAATGCCTGACAGAAACATGGAAGGCAATGGTTTTTAATTTTGTTGGCTCACAGTTCATGGTTTCAGCTCATCATGACAGTGAAGGTGCGGTCAGTTCATGGCAGCAGGACTGTGTGGCAGAGGCTGTTCACATTGAAACAGAAGGGGGCATACTAGCTTAGTTCACTTTCTCTTTTTTCCCTTCTTAGTCCATCTGGGCCTCCAGCCCATGGGATAGTACTACCATAGTCAGTCTGGGTCTTCTCCCCTTAACTAATCCCCTCTGGAAATGGCCTCACAGATACACCCCGAGGTATTCCTCAGCTTCCTAGATGATTCTAAATCCAGCCCGTTGACAGTGAAGATTAACCATCACAAAGTGGGAGGAATGAGGAGGCCCCCACCTGTTAGGCTTTGCTGCTACTTGACTCCAGCAGCTCCCTCCTCTGCCTCAGCCCAGGTAGCTAAGAATTTGCAGGCAGGATTGGCCTCTGCCCAGAGGCACAGACCACTTCTAGAGGACTGACAACTGACCACTGAGACCCTAGATCCCTATAATCAGGTTTGCTGTTCACAAATGTACCTGGGCCCCTGTTCATGGAATTACCCTACCCTCCACTCTGTATCACAGTAAAGCCTTCAATTCTAAGTGGCAAACACCTGGCTTCAGGAGCCTGCGCTGTAGGAACATTTCTAACTCTTGAGTATGTCGTGATGGGTCTGGTCTCTTCCCCTCTTATCCTTTGAGTCGGTTTCATCCTCCAGCTTAGGGCCTCTGCTGTGCCCAACACCCAGCAGTACATCCCCATCCAACCAGCAGTGAAGGCACTAGACAGAGCAGGCACTTGAGTAGCAGAAAAGAAATACACTTTTTTTTTTTTTGGTGGTACTGGGGATTGAACCATGCAGGACACATATGTCGGGTAGGTGCTCTTACCACTAAGCCATGTCCCCAGCCCTTAGAAATCCAGACCCTCCAGAGGCCTCCTCAGATAAGTCGAAGGCAGCAAGAATGGGGATTACTTAGATTTACTGAGAACATCTCCCATCCTGCTGAGAATTGGATTCTCAGCAAGAAATTTGGATGACAGAACCAAGGGACCTGCCACTCCCCTCTTCGAAATGCCAAGCTATTAAGCCCTGGAAGGATAAGACAGAACACATTAGGTTAAGAAACTACTGCTGATGGAACCTGTGAAACCACAGCATCCTCAGAAGGAAGACCATGGCATTTTATGGGACATCCTAGAGTCTACTATAAAGTGGTATCTTTGCAAAGGAGCAGGCGGGGATCCCAGAAGCCACTAGGGCTGATAAGGTGTCCCAGGATTGGTGCCAGAGGGGAGCCCTCACCACTCCCAGGGACAAGGTACAAAAAGGTGGGTATGAGAACTCAGGAGCAAATATAGAGAGAGGACCACCTTGGAGGGGGCACTTCATTTAACTCTCCCTATCTCCTGGTAGTACCCCATTGCCCAAATCCTACCAGAAGCCAGAAAGCATGGAAACCCAGCTGATGTAGCCCACCCAGTCGGCCTCCTAGGAGAAGGAACAGGACAAAGTTTGGGAGCTTAGGGGCTGCTGAGGCCTGTGTTTCAAGAACTCTTCCATATGAACATCTGCTCACCTAGATACCAGTGACAGACCCAAGAAACAATTCTGCCCAAGACCAGAAAGGCAAACCAATGAGTTTATTTATTAAGCTTACTTATAGGACCATGCTGAAGAATTACATAGAGAAGCATGTGTGACCCTCAAAAACTGTCACCCCCGCATAGTCAGTGATCTCCCAAGAGAAAGGCCCCTTTCAGTTTATCCTCTCTACTCCTGAGGCCATGTGCACCCAAGGTGGAGTTACATACAGCTGGGGTGGAGTTCAAGAACAAATGGCTGGGATCACAAGTGACGCCACCTAATGACCCAACCTCCGCCTCTTTTTTTTTTTTTTTTTTTTTTTTTTTCTTACCTTGGCCAAATTGGTGGGGTGTCGCCCCGCTGCTCGGAGGCCCGCTGTGAGCAACTGGCGATAAAGGCGTAGGTGTCCCCTACCTTCAGGTGTGTTGAAGTCCCAATCTGGTCTGGTCAAGGGAAAGGCAGCTTCTATCTCGTTGGGCAGCTGGGTAGGTCTCCCATCCGCCCCAGGAACCTGCTTGCGGGCTTCCAGAATAACCCTCTGTTTTTCTTCTGTCGTGAGGAGAACTTGGAGAAGCTGCTGGCAATCATCCCAGGTGGGCTGGTGGGTTAGAAGAATAGACTCTAGGAGGTTAGTTAGGGCCACAGGATCTTGGGAGAAGGGCGGGTTATGTTGCTTCCAATTATAAAGGTCAGAGGCAGAAAAGGGCCAGTACTGGAGTTGGTTGCCTGGCCCTGGTCCCACTCGGAGGGGAAGTATGTGAGAAGACTCTCCTCCTTGACCCCGGCGGTCCTTCTTTTTTTGCTGAGGTGGAATTCTTACTATAGCCCAGGCTAGCTTGGAACTTAGTGTGAGCCCCTTGCCTCAGACTCCTAAGTGCCGGTATGACACACATGAGCTGCCATACCCAACCATCCAATCCACTCTTATGAAGGAAGGTCCACAGGCCTGATCTTGTTGAGGGTTTCCTTGTTCATAGTCACAGCAGCTCTGATTTTTTTTTGCTGAGGTGGAATTCTTACTATAGCCCAGGCTAGCTTGGAACTTAGTGTGAGCCCCTTGCCTCAGACTCCTAAGTGCCGGTATGACACACATGAGCTGCCATACCCAACCATCCAATCCACTCTTATGAAGGAAGGTCCACAGGCCTGATCTTGTTGAGGGTTTCCTTGTTCATAGTCACAGCAGCTCTGATTCAGATGACAACAGCTTAGGGCTGGACAGATGGCTCAGCACTGGCTGCTCTTGCAGAAGGCCTGAGTTTGGTTCCTAACAACCATCTGTAACTCCAGTTCTAGGGGACCCGATGCCCTCTTCTGACCTCCACAGGCACTGCATGTATGTGGTACACTTACATACATGCAGGCAAAACACTGATAAAATAAACATGAAACTTAAATTTAAAAAGGTAACATCCACGTTGAGTGTGGTGGTACATACCTTTAATACCAGCACTCAGGAGGCAGAGGCAGGCGGATCTCTGAAAGATCAAGTCCAGCCTGGTCTACATAGTGAGTTCCAGGTCAGCTGAGGCTATAGAGAGATCCAGTCTCAAAAAGACCAGTCTGCAGATTTCTCCCCAAATGTACTTGCAGCAACATAAGCCTGATCCCCAGGAGGCATGACCGTGGACACAGGACACCTGAAAAATAGGAAATAGCTGTCCCCATGTATTTGCTCATCCTTCACTGCCACTCACCTCAGTGCCCCATACCCACCACCAGCCTCCCTGACACCCAGCAGGACAGCTCCTAGGTAGTGAGCCACCAACCTGTGCCAGACGTACCAGTCATGACCATATGAAATCCAGTCACTTGTGAGATGGAGCCACTCACTACAAACCCCATTGCAGACAAGTCAGCTGAAATTCAGTCTGCCCAGCCACCTCACCCCTCAAGACTTCCTAACCACACCCATTTCTATGGCTGCCGCTGGCTGACCACTGCATGTGGAGCTTTGCCACTTTGTAGGACCTGGGGCAAGTCACCTCTCATTGAGCATTACTTTTTAAAATATTTATGAGTGTTTGAGTGTATTGCCTGTGCACCTGTGTCATGTAATGCCCTCAGAGGACAGAAAAGGACATCGGACCCCCTGGAACTGGAGTTATGGATGGTTGTTAGCCACCATGTGTGTGCTGGGAATTGAACCTTGGTCCTCTGGGAGGACAGCAAGTGTTCTTAACTGCTGAGCCAACTCTCCAGTCCATGAGCCTTATTTTTTGAGACTGTCTTAGGCAGCCTAGGCTGCTCTCAAACTTACTATGTAGCAGAGGCTGGCCTTGAACTCCTGATCTTCCTACCTCCACCTTTCAAATGCTAGGATTACAGGATTGCATGTGTGTGCCACCCATACCCAGCTTCTTCCTCTGGCAAATGGGATTAAGGTATCTTCCTGTCATGGTTTGTGTTGACCCCATAAATCACTTGCAGAGTATTTAGTGTACTTAGTACTCTCTCTCTTGCATTCCTCCAATGAAACTGAAAGACAGACCACCACCCCCTTGTATTAGTCACATTTTCATCATTAGGACAAGACCTGAGAAACAGAAAGAGGGAAAGGCTCAGGCTCACTGTTTCAGACTGGTTCAGACTGGCTGGCTGGCTCTACTGCTGTGGGACTGAGACATAGCTGAACCTCATGGCAGCAGGAGCATGTGGCAGAGGAGGCCGCTACATCATGGTGGCCAGCACAGAGCCAGAGAAGTCTAGGGACAGTGCCAGTGCCAGCCGGCCAAGACGGACAGTACCTGAAAGGGGGAGTGAGGATTGAAAGAAAGAACAAGAGACAGGAAAGATGCCTGGGAGGACTGACAGTAAATACTGCAGCCCCGGTTTATTTCAGCTCCACCTTTTTATACAGAAGAACTCAATTAGTTACAACAGCTGTTTTCCCCACCTGTATCTGAGGGTCAAGGAGCAGTCAGATCAAAGGCTTCTTTGATCCTTTTGTTTACCACTATTGCCTCCAGGTCAGGTATTGTGAGGCTCTCCACATAAACACATCCCTCCTGAATAGGCAGATTAAGTACTGGTATGCATAACACAAACAGTAAACAAGGCTGCCACAGCTCAATGCATATAATAGATTAGCAGCTCCCGACAGGACAGGAGGCCCTTCAAAGGTTCGCCCACAGCGACCCACTTCTTCCAGCTAGGCCCCAGCTCCTAGTTTCTACCATTTCTAATAATGCCATCAAACTATGAATCCATCAATGGAGTAATCCATTGATTACCTCAGACCCTTCATGACCCAATCAGCTCTTGACTGGATCCACCAGTCCAGGACCAAATCTTTAATACATGAGCCTTTGGGGAGGGCACTTCATATCCAAACCACACAAGGAGTGTGGAGATCCTTCTTGGGCTGGGAATGTAACTCAAAATAGAGTGCTTGCCTAGCACACAGAGGCCCTCAGTTCCATCCCCAGCACCATAAAGGCTAAGTGTGGTGGCACTTGTCTCTAATCCCAGCACTTGAGAAGTGGAGGGAGGAGATCAGGAGTTCAAGACTATCCTTGGCTACAGAGCAAGTTGGAAGTCAGGTTGGGATACATGAGATGATCCCCCCCATTTATTTTTTAAAATATTTTATTATTTTTATTTTCTGTGTATGAGTGTATTGCCTGCATGTGTATAAGTGCACCCATGGTGTGCAATGCCCATGGAGGTCGGAGGTCAGAAGGTGTCAGATCCTCTGGTACTGGAGTTACCGACTCCAGTTGTTAAGCCACCATGTGGGTGTGGGGTATTGAACCCGGGTCCTCTGTAAGAACAGTCAGTGCTCTTAACCGCTGAGCCATCTCTCCACCGCCACCCCCTGCTTGTTTTTTGAGACAGGGTCTCCCTGTAGTCCCAGCTAGCCTGGAACTTGATATATAGATCAGATTAGTTTTGATCTCACAGAAATACACCTGCCTCTGATGGGATTACAGATGTATGCCACCAAGCCTGCCAAGACCCTCTTTGTAAAAAAACAAAAACGAAAACAAAAACAAAAACCGGGCCGGGTGTGGTGGCGCACGCCTTTAATCTCAGCACTTGGGAGGCAGAGGCAGGAGGATCTCTGTGAGTTCAAGGCCAGCCTGGTCTACATAGTGAGTTCCAGGACAGCTGGGGCTACAGGGAGACCCTGTCTCAAAAAGGCCAAAAAAAAAAAAACAACAACAAAAACCAAGACTGGCAAGATGGTTTGACGGTTAAAGGCACTTGCCATATAAACCTGACAACCAGAGTTCAATCCCTGGAACCCACATAAAGGAGAAATAATTCTCAAAGGTTGTCCTCTGACCTCTGACATGTGTCACGGAGTATGACCCCTCCTTAATAATTTTTCTTCCTTTTCTTACCACCAAACCTCTACGATGACTATTCTCTCTGCCTGGAACACCCTCCCTTTTCACTTGATCCCTCATCTTCCACGAAGCCATCCCTGAATCTCTAGGAGTGATCAGATACCTCTTTTGATTCCCAGGCACCCCTGTTTTAACCTCTCCCAGCTTGGATCGTGTCCTCCCCAGTTGACCATTCTGGATGGTCACTGCTGGCTCCCTCTTTTCAGTGCAGAGCTAAGCTCTGTCTGTAGCAGAAGTTGAGAAAATTGTTGATAAATAATGAAAGTAAACTGCAGGGCGAGCGTTCAGAACTTTTTTTTTGTAGCCCCAGTTGTCCTGGAACTCATTATGTAGACCAGGCTGGCCTTGAACTCACAGAGATACACTTGCCTCTGCCTTGAGAGTGCTGGGATTAAAGGTGTGCAACACCACACCTGCCTGGCCTTCAGAATTCTTAATACTTGGTTCAGGCATCTGAAGGACCGATCTGTAACAGCCTGGCCAGAGTGCTGAGGTGGGTTCTGGGAACACCAGGATGGTATTGCAGAACACTGAGGCCTTTCTTCTGGCAAGCAGTTTATTAGTGTGGCACTGACTCAGGATTCCCATCCCTTCTGAGCCCTGAGTACAGTAGGGCTTAGCCTGTTAGACCTCCTGTTAGTTCCCTCTTACACTTTAGTCTCTTCATCTCTCATATATGGTAACACGTTTTTTTGGTTTGGTTTTTTTTTGGGGGGGGTCTTTTTGAGACGGGGTCTCCCTGTAGCCCCCAGCTGGCCTGGAACTCACTATGTAGATGAGGTTGGCCTTGAACTCACAGAGATCCACCTGCCTCTGCCTCCTGAGTGCTGGGATTAAAGGCATGCACCACTACGCCCAGCGGTAACATGTATCCTGACAGAATGCTCCATGCTAGAGTCATGACAGACAGGGTTGTGTATGTGAACTCAGAGACCATCCTTTATTTCCTTTCTTAGTTCTGGGAGGACCCCTGCCACAATGGGAGGGGTCCCAGGTACTCACTAGGAGCTGGACTGTTAACCAATCTTTTGATACCCATTAAGCCTCAATGATGCCATGTTATCTTTGGGCATCTGAGCATCGGGAAAGTAGAACTTCCTGATTGAGGAAACGCAGCCTGGATCATTATTTCTGCCTTTACGTTCCCATTCTGCTGCCCTGCTCTGTGGGAGGAGCAGAACAATCACAGCTGCCCCCACCCAGCCTCCTCAGACAGCTGCTGTGATTTGAATAACCAAGCAGGCTGATAGACGTCCGGTGGTGACTGATTTGCCTGGCAAACTGTCCCTCAAGTCCTCCCCTGTGGTACTGGGGCCATGCAAGTCTTTCTTTTCTTCATCCCCAGGAGTGGCCTAGGCTTTTCATCCCTCATTCCTAGCTTGAGCCTCCCTGGGCCCTAGAACTTGTGAGGCTGGGGAGTTCTTTTGAGAGCCTGGCCTGGGGAAGGAGCTGTAACTAGCAGGCCCCAGAGTAGAGTATTTGGAGCCTGCTAAGGCTGCTCCCTAGGCTTGTCCCAAAATTTGCATGAAGAGAATGAGGCTTCTCCATGGGTCTCCTCCGCCCCTCACTTGGGATAGTCTGTGGGGCTGAGGTCTAAGGCAGCAGGTGGAGGCAGCCCTGTGTGGCGCCATCTCACCATTCCCAAGGTGATGCCCCGAGTCTTCCTAGTCAGGAGCCGGCGTCCACAGCCACCCAACTGGGGCCATCTGCCTGACCACCTCCGGGGAGATGCCTATATCCCAGGTACACACCTGACTGGGCCTGGAGGTGAAGGGCCAGGAAGATGCCATATATCACTATCTGGCTTCTCTCTGCAGACTGCAGCAGCCTGGCAGCGCCACCAGTGCACAGATCTTCTGGCCTTGGGGACTCTTGGGCAGCGGTGAGTGCAACTAGCACCCAAGACTGGCTGAATTTCCACCTGCCTGGAAAACTGATGGCCTCTTACTCCTGGGCCCTTTGCACATGCTCTACGGCCTCAGGACCTCTTGTTCTCTGGGCATGCTGCTTCTCTTCCTAGTAGCCAGCTCAGTCCAGTCTTAGTCCCATGCTCTCAGTGTAGGTGGGTGGCTGCAAGGCCCTGCTCCAGAGATGTGTCCAGAGATGGGTGCAGAACAAGATTCCAACCCATTCATGCCAGAACATTGAACAAGGTGACAGAGACGGGGGTGCAGGCTATAAGAACCTCTCAGAAGGGGTAGTTCGGCTGTGCCAGCGAGAAAGCCCTAGTCAGAATGAGTGTGCTTGAAGTCATTCAGTATTAGAGCCAGGCATTGTTGGGGTGCTGGGTATTCAGCAGGAGGGACAAACGTCTATTTCCTTTTGGAGTTTCTTTCCAGTGGGAGCTGGAGGCACAGACACTAAAACTGGGAGTTTGTGCGAGGAAAGTGTTCTTGGCTAGGGAACATGAAAGATAGAGTGATGGGATTCAGTTAGGGAAGGCCTTAGGAGAGGGTGGCCCCTGGCCCCTTTCACTTGTAGATTCTAGTCTTCCTTGGCTTTGGGCACTCCACCAAAGACTGGGCAGGACCTAGCTAACTCCTGTGTCCTTCTGGCAGTCCTCACAGGGAATGCTGGCCTCTGCTCCCAGGGGCCCAGGGACACTTGGCTGTCCACTCTGCCCCAAGGCCTTCCCACTGCAGCGCATGCTGACTCGGCACCTCAAATGCCATAGCCCAGCGAGGCGCCACGTGTGCCGCTGCTGTGGCAAGGGCTTTCACGATGCCTTCGATCTCAAGCGCCACATGAGGACTCACACTGGTGAGCAACAGCAAGACAAAAGGGGATTTCTGGGTCTCAGATGGGTGTGGGGGTGGGTGGGGTGTTGATGGAATGAAATAGAGGGAGGTGCCTGGGATATGGAATTTCCAGGGTTTGTGGATATGCAACAGGGACACAAGTAATGAGGAGCCTGAGACTGGGTGTACCTCACACCCAGGCAGGTGAGTATATGGTGGCACCAAGGAAGGGGCTGGCAAAGGGTTACGTGAGGTACCGGCTACAGATTCAGAATCCAAGGCCCAGCAAGATAGCTCAATGGATGAAAGCGCCTGCCAAGCCTGATGACCTCAGTTCAATCGCAGGCACCCATATGGTATAAGGAGAACAGACCCACAAATTTTCTTGATAGCCACAGTTACATCACAGCATGTGTGCACCCATATACATACATACCCACATACAAACTCAAAATAAATTTTAAAATGTAATTTAAAAATTAAGCCAGAGGGGCTGGAGAGATGGCTCAATAGTTAAGAGCACTGGCTACTCTTGCAGAGGGCCTGGGTTCTGTTCCCACCACCCCACAAGGTAACTAAGGATCAATCACCCATTACTCCATTTCCAAAGGATATGATGCCCTCTTTTGGCTTCTGTGGGTATCTCACACATGGGTGCACTTAAAACAGGCAGGTAAAACACACATAAAAAAAGAAAATAAATAAAAATTTAAGATAGGGCTGGAGAGATGGCTCAGTGGTTAAGAACATTGACTGTTCTTGCAGAAGACCCAGGTTCGAATCCCAGCACCCACGTGGCAGCTAACAACTGTCCGTAATTCCAGTTCTAGGGGACCCAACAGCCTCTTCTGTCCTCTGCGGGCACTGTACAACATAGGTGTACTTACCTACATGCAGGCGATACATGCATACATATAAAATAAAAAAGATAAATTAAGCTGGGTGGCACAGCACATGCCTTTAATCCCAGCACTCAGGAGGCAGAGGCAGGTAGATCTCTGTGAGTTCTAGGCCAGTTGGGGCTACAGGGAGACCCTGTCTCAAAAGACCAAAAAAAAAGCCCAAACAAACAAAAAGATAAATTAAGCCAGAAAGATGGTTGCGGTTGCACACACCTTTAATCCCAGCACTCAAGAGGCAGAGGCAGGAAGATCTCTGTGAGATGGAGACCAGCCTGGTCTACATAGGGAGTTCCAGGCTACCTGAGGCTAGAGAGACCCAGTTTCAAAAAGACAAAGAAATGGGAGGAGGGTGCTGGGGAGATGGCTCAGCAGTTAAGATCACCTGTTGTTCTTGCAGGGGATCTGAGTTCAATTCTCAGCACCCACATATGGCAGCTCCCAACTGCCTGTAACTCCAGCTCCAGGGGTAGCCTCTGGCCTCCACAGACACCTACACTCACAATCATATACATACACATAATTTTTAAGATAAATTATGTTTAGTATGGTGGCACATGCCTTTAATCCCAGCACTCGAGAAGCAGATCTCTTTGAGTTCAAGGCAAGCCTGTTCTACATAGTGAGTTCCAGGCCAGCTGGGGCTACAGAGAGACCCTGTATCAAAAAGACCAAAAAAAAGTTGTATCTTAAAAAAATGTTCACACTCCAGATTCAGAACAGTCAAGGGAAGTTTCCCATGTTGCTAAGAGCTCCAACCCCAGAGGAAGGAGCTGCCTGGTGAGAGGTAGAGGAGATGCAGGAGTCTGGCTTATGTTGCCCTAAGTGGAATACTGATGGTAGGTTATAAACAGAGGAGTCCCCTGAGCTTGGAAGAGGAAATGCTCAAGGCTACAGGGCAAGATGGGAAGCCTTTAGAACCAAGGCCACTGCCCTCTTTGCCTGTCCCTTCTCCGCATCTCATCGTCACAGGGATACGGCCATTCCGCTGCGGGGCTTGTGGGAAAGCTTTTACGCAGCGCTGCTCCCTGGAAGCCCACCTGGCCAAGGTACACGGGCAGCCAGCCAGCTACGCTTACCGTGAGCGCAGGGAGAAGCTGCACGTGTGTGAGGATTGCGGCTTCACCAGCTCTCGGCCCGACACTTATGCGCAGCACCGCACCCTGCACCGTACAACTTGAGACAGGGACCCAATCCTACCCAAGAAACAAATAAACACCGTAAACACTAATAGAGAAACTGGCATTTATTACAGATGGAGGAAGGAGGGGTCACTCAGTCCAGCGGTGGCCACAGTGTGGGGCAGTGCATACATAGTACAGGCGCATGGCATCCTGACAACAGGAATGCTCAGTTAGGAAGAATCTGAACCCAGCAGAGAATAGTTTGAGACCCTCCACCCTCAAAAGAACAAAGGAGCTTTCCCCTTGATTCCAGGAAGCCCAGGATCACCCTAAAATTTGTCTCTGCCTCCCAGGGAAGAACCTCAGAAAGTGGTCCACCTACCTCTGCCCGGGCACTGTGTGACTGGAAGAACACTGCTTCCTTGTGTCCGCACCTGAGGAATGGGGGGCTCAGTTACTTGGAGTGGGGAACACCCTACCCTTCCTCCAGGCTCCCCTTCCCCTATGCCAGCTGCGCACACACTTCTGGCACGGGTGGTCCTCTGTCCGCGGCAACGTGGGGTCCTGGGACACGTCAGCGATGATCTGGGTCAGCTCGCTGCAGAGATGGGACGGTGAACAGCTACAGTCAGACTAGGTCACCCCAGAGGACACCCGCGCCCCAAAGCCCTGGGCCCGCCACTCACTCCACTTCGTGCGTGATCTTGTTGACGTAGATGCAGCTGTTGTCCGCTTCCTGCTGGTAATCGCAATTCCGGCACTACCAGAGGGAGAGCATGGCGGGAAGAGGGGTCACAAAGAGATCCCCAATGGGATGGCGAGGTGGAGGGATTCCCAGAGGAGGTGCTGCGTGGAGGTCAGCCACCTCGGGAGTGGACAAGACGGCAGCGTGGGTGCCCTCGGGGGACGGTCAAGGGGTGGGAAAAAGAACAGGACGCGGGAGCCCGGGCTCACCGCGTACAGCAGAATACGGTTCTCCTTGTCCTCCTTGGGGTACAGCATGTTGTTACTGTGGGGGGGAGGAGGAGGTCAGAGGTCATCCCTGGAGCCATCTCACTGCCTGTCCACACCTGCTTCCCGGGCCTCACCATTCCTGGCAGAATCGAATACCCACGAAGCCCGGCTCGTACGTCCCGTCGGGTTCCATGGCGACGCAGGAGCCCGAAAAGCTTTCTGCGCCTGCGCGGTCGCGCTACGGGTCGCGGGAAGAGACCAGCCAAAAAGGGGCGGAGCTGCGCACGTGCTCGGTGCCTCGGCACTGAGATTTGGCTGACTGCTTCTTTACCCTTTCGATATCCTATGATGATGGCTGCCTCCTCGATTCCGCAGTGGTTTCGACCTAGTACAGAAAAGATGATGCGCGGCGTCATCCTCAGGGCGCTGAACGCAAATGGGAGAGGCCATAGTGGGCCTCTGCACATGCGCGGAGCTTACACTTGCCCTGGGTAACTCCTGCCAGTCTTTCTTTCTAGCTTCAGCCCCCTCCCACCCTCCTTGGCTGTTTCCCGAGCGGCTATTGGAAGAATCGGGAACCAAGGAAGGCCTTTCGGGATTGGTTGGACCTACCCTGGACTACGGGAGAAGCCTCTTCCTGGCGGAGGCGATAGGACGATAGCGATTGGCTGACCGTGTTTGCGGGAGCGCTCGGATTGGTCAGCTCCGGGAGCAGGGGCGGGATTTATCGCCCAGAAGGAACAGGGGTGACTGCGGAGCCGGTGCGAAGCGGCGGAACCAGACCTGGGCGCGGCGAGATGGAGGTGATGGGGATCTCGGCGCCCACAGTGACGGTTTTCATCAGCAGCTCCCTCAACACCTTCCGCTCCGAGAAGCGGTACAACCGCAGCCTCACCATCGCAGAGTTCAAGGTGTGGCCGTGGGAGCGGGGCCCGGGGGGGGGGGCTTCTGAAAGCCAGGGGGCGGGGCTCGAGGTGAGGGTGCAGGGAGGCCACGGAGAAACAACGGGTGGCTGTGGAGTAGGGGCGGGGTTGGGGAAAACAGGTGCTCCGGAGAGCAGAGGAGGCAGAGTCCAGAAGGGAATAGTAGGGATGCAGATGGTTGTGGATGCCAGGCAAATGGGGCCTCTGACAGCTTTTCTCCTCATCCTGCCCCCTCCCTGCAGTGTAAACTGGAACTGGTGGTTGGCAGCCCTGCTTCCTGCATGGAACTGGAGCTGTATGGAGCTGACGACAAGTTCTACAGCAAGTTGGATCAAGAGGATGCGCTGCTGGGCTCGTATCCTGTAGATGATGGTTGCCGGATCCATGTGAGAACACCCTTCCTGGGACCCCAACACCCTGATTCATTCGTTTATTTATTCAACAAAGATTTACTGTGCTTTGCCCTGTGTGGTAACCAGTGTAGGCCCTATTCCCATGGTGCCCCCAGTTCAGCCTGGTGAGAAGTAGACTTTCTATAGATGGTGACTGTTCAGACTGGTCTGGGCTGAAACAGGAAAAGCCCAGGAAATTGGGGAGACTCAGAAGAGGCACCTGACTTTACCTGGGAGTATCTGAAAAGGCTTCCTGGAGGAATGTATGTTTGAGCAGATAGGCAAAGGATATTATGTGCAGGGAAAGAGTGTGTGTGTCTTTCTGTCTAAATGAATGATCCACATGAGCAGTAAGCCTGGAGAGGGTGAGGGTGGGGGTGGGGGACCAGAATAGAATGCAAAAGACCTCTGTGTGCATCAACTCACATCATTCTGCCCTCCATACCATACACATTGTTATTTAGCCATTCCCAGGTAAGTTCTCCATCTATTCCTTTTTTTTTTTTTTCCTTTTTTTTTAGGGTCTCCCAGCTGGCCTGGAACTCACTATGTAGACCAGGCTGGCCTTGAGCTCACAGAGATCCTCCTGACTCTGTCTCCCGAGTGTTGAGATCAAAGGCGTGCGCCACCATGCCCAGCTCCATCCATTCCTTTCTGTGTGCTAGATTGTATTCTCTACACAATTGGTTCTCTTGATGTGCCCATGTGGCTGCTAACTTCTTCTAAAAGTGTCAACTTCAGGCATGAGGTATGGTGGTGCCTATCTATAATGTATATAATCCAGTACTCAGGAGGAGGCAGGAGATTTGTGAGATTGAGGTTAGCCTGGGATACATAGTGATACCATGTTTTAAAAAGAAAGATAGCAGTTGGCCACTCAAGCCTGCATCTGAGTTCAATCCCTGGAGCCCACTTAAAAGTGGAAGGATTACCATTTGAAGCCCAGTGTGGTGGCACACACCTTTAATCCCACCACTCAGGAGGCAGAGGCAGGCAGATCATTGTGTGTTCAAGGCCAGCCTGGTCTACATAGTGAGTTCAGGTCAGCTGGGACTACAGGGAAACCCTGTCTCAAGAAGACAAAAAAAAAAAAAAAAAAAAAAAAGAAAAAGTGGAAGGAGAGGGGCTGGAGAGATGGCTCAGTGGTTAAGAACATAAGTTCTTAACATAAGAACATAAGTTCTTGCAGAAGACCCGGGTTCAAATCCCAACACCCACATGGCAGCTAACAACTGTCCGTAACTCCGGTCCCAGGGGATCCGGCAGTGTCTTCTGACTTCTGCCGGCATTGCACGACATGGGTGCACTTGTCTATATGCAGGCAATACACGCGTAGACATAAAATAAAATTAAAAAAAAGTGGAAGGAGAGAACCAACTTTATAAAGTTGTGCTCTGGCCTCTACACATGAAACCTCTACCCACATCATGTATACACATACACAATTATAATGAGAGAAAGAGCACTTGCCTAGCAGATAAAAGACCTGCTTTCAACTGTTGACACACAAAAAAAGTCACCTTCCAAATGATGATTTTATTAGTCCCAGTAATGTTTTGTCCTGTTCATTGCATGCTATGGCACACACATGGCATGCCCAGAACTCAAGAATTGGTTTTCTCCTTCCACCATGTGGATGCTGAAGGTAGATTCTTTTACCCAATGAGTCATCTTACCAGCCTCTTGTTTGTTTTTTGTTTTTGTTTTTTTGGTCATTTTGAGACAGGGTCTCCCTGTAGCTGCAGCTGTCCTGGAACTCACTATGTAGACCAGGCTGGCGTGAACTCAGAGATCTGCCTGCCTCTGCCTCCCGAGTTCGAGTGCTGGGATTAAAGGCGTGCGCCACCATGCCTGGCCCCTTGTTTGATTTTTATAGATAGGACTTTGTGTAGGCCAGATTCGCCTCAAAATCCTTATGTAGCCATGGCTAAGCCTTGAACTCCCAATCTCCCTGCCTTCACCTCCCAAGGGCTGGGATTGTAGCTTAGTATAAAATCTCAACCACATCTCTTTCTCCTTTTCTAAGGTATTTTCGGTTTCTTGCTCCTAGCTCTTACCATGCATACTCTGGCTTTTTCCTCATTGGTCTGGCTTATCATCCTTCTCCCTAATTAGAGTCCTGGGAGGGCAGAAATCTCCCTCACCTTAGTTCACTGCTGTGTCACCAGCTACTGGAACAGTGCCCAACACAGACATATCCTCATTGAAACAGTGAGTTGTTGAGCCATGCATTGAACCCAGAGAATAACTCAAGGATGAAGGTAGAGTTACCCCATTTTGCAGAAGAAAACGCTGAGCTTCAGGAAGGAATTCGATTTTTTCCTTTTTAAAAAAATATTATTTTTAGGCCGGGTATAGTGGCGCATGCCTTTAATCCCAGCACTCTAGAGGCAGAGGCAGGCAGATCTCTAGAGGCCAGCCTAGTCTACATAGTGAGTTCCAGGCCAGCTGGACCTACAGGGAGACTGTCACAAAATGAAACAAACAAAAGAGCAAGTAAGTAATCAAGGCTTACTTTAGCAGGTTGAGAAAGCAACAGCAGAAAGTAAGCAGACTCTCCACAGTGGAGAGTAGATGCAGCAGTGTTTTGTGTGTATCCTGGAAATTGAACTCAGGTCCTCTGACTGAGCTACCTCCCCACCTTTTCTTTAAAAACAAAAAATTTTTTTGTACTGTAGTTAGAACCTAGGGTCCATGATTCTCATGATTGTCAGGCAATGCTCTACCACTGAATTACATGCCCAGCCCCTCAAACCAGTGCTGGTTATGCCATAAATCATTTGTGTTTTCCTAGCAAGTGTGGCTGAAATTACAGTAAAATATGTTAACAAAAATGGGAATTTTTCTCTTTAGAGCTGTTGGGAGTGAACAACTTCAGGGAGGAGCCAGATACACTCATTTGTAAAAAGCAATAGAGAAACAAACCAGAACTATATATATATATAATATATATATATTATTTTTATTTTATTATGTGTATGAGTGTATTGCTACATGCATGTAAGTGTACCCATGTCATACAATGCCCACAGAGGTCAGAAGAGGGTGTCAGATCCCCTGGAACTGGAGTTACAAACAGTTGTTAGCTGCCATGTGGGTTCTGGGAACTGAAACCAGGTCCTCTGCTAGAGCAGCCAGTGCTCTTAATCTGTGAGCCATCTCTCTAGCCCCTTGTTTTTTTCTCTTTAAAAAAAATTTTTGCTGGGCATGGTGGCACACCAGCCCTCTGTAACCAGTTCCAGGATATCTGATGCCCTCTTCTGTCCTCCGTGGGCACTGCAGGACAGGGACTCGCTTACATGTAGGCATAATATTCATACATGTAAAATAAAAATAAATTTTAAAAATGTTATTTGAGCCGGGCGTGGTGGCACATGTCTTTAATCCCAGCACTCGGGAGGCAGAGGCAGGCGGATCTCTGTGAGTTCAAGGCCAGCCTGGTCTACATAGTGAGTTCCAGGACAGCTGGGGCTACAGGGAGACCTGTCTCAAAAAGACCAAAAAAAAAAAAAAAAAAAAAAAATGTTTGGGGGAATTTGTGTGTGTGGTGCTGGGAAGCACTCTATCACAGAGCTACATCCCCATCCCTTATCTAGTGCTCAATACAGTCTGTTTAGGATGGTCTCCTCCGAGCAGAATGAGCACTGCCTGAGGGCAGGATTGACTGTTTTTGCACCATTCCCTAGAACCTTCTGGGAACCCTCTGTAAGCTGGGTGAATTCTGGGTCAGTGCAGGGACAGATGGTCTGGGTTTTGTGCCGGTGCCAGCCGGCCAAAACGGACAGTACCTGAAAGGGGGAGTGAGGATTGAAAGAAAGGAAAGGAGACAGAAAAGATGCTTGGGAGGACTAACAGTGAATACTGCAGCCCCGATTTATTTCAGTTCTGCCTTTTTATACAGAAGAACTCATTGGTTACCACAGCTGTTTTTCCCCACCTGTATCTGAGGGTCAGGGAGCGGTCAGATCAAAGGCTTCCTTAATCTTTTTATTTACCACTATTGCCTCAAGGTCAGGTATTGTGAGGCACTCCAGAAACACCTTCCTCCTGAATGGGCAGGTTAAGTACTGGTTTGCATGACACAAACTCAGTAAACGAGGCTCCGGACAGTTTTGGAGATTGGGGCTAACCTAAACACATCATAAGGCTCCGTAGAGAAAGGATGTGAGCCAGGCCTGGACTCTGCTGGCTGGGTTCAGTGACATTGGGTACACCAGTGATATTGATGCCTGCGCAAGGAGGCCATCTAGGGGTGAATACAGCCTCTGGAGGCTTAGATGGGCATGAGAAAGGGGAGGTGGCCAGTGCTATTCTGCTGGGCTCAGGGGAAGAGAGAAGACTAGGATAAAGGTAAGGGTAGGGCTGTGGCTTCTCACAAAGTCTCCACGCTCTGCCAATATGTGACTGCATTCCAGGCCTCCTTGGCTAGATGCTGGTCCCCACTTACCTCCCTTCCCTTCCCACAGGTCATTGATCACAGTGGTGTCCGGCTTGGGGAGTATGAGGATGTATCCAAGGTGGAGAAATACGAGATCTCACAAGAAGCATATGACCAGAGGCAAAGTACAGAATACACAGGATGGGCTGGAAGGGGCAGGTGGGGTCCAGAGGGCTGGGGGCAGGAAGGAGGGCCACCACAGCCAGGTCAGTGGGATGGGCAGAAGGGAATAGGACTTGGAGGATAGAAGAGGGAGAGGTAGGGCTGGTGATGGGGACAGATGGGTCACAAGAAAGGAGTTGAGGTAGATGGGGCATGGATTGGGGTTAGGTGGGAGGCAGTGCTAGGAAGTAGAGGTTAGGCAAGTAGATGGGGACTTGGAAGGTGGAAGGGGCTTTAGGGAGAGCTAGGGGTTGGGTTGAGGGACTGTTCATGGTCAAGATGGAGGCATGGGGCTGGGAAGATGGGATGTTCAGGCAGGATATGGTGGGAGGTGCACAGGCAGTGTGCAGTCAGGACAGGTATCTGCAGATGGGGCAGAATGGGCAGACAGGAGTGTTTGAGGAGCTGAATGATGGTGAATGTGAGACTGGAGAAATGTGTGGAAAGATGGGGCCAGGTGAGGACTGGAGGTTGGCCACATTAGTTTCTGGGTTGTATAGAGACACCAGGAGTCTGGGCAAGAGGGCAGAGCTCTGGGAAGACGGCGGAGAGTCTTCAACACTTAGTAGAAGAGTTCCTCCACTAATGTGGGCCCCTCATGGGAGGAACATGGTCTGAAGATCAGGTTTGACTCCATCCCTTCCTGCCCACAGACACAGTTCGCTCCTTCATGAAACGCAGCAAGCTAGGCCCATATAATGAAGAGCTGCGGGCACAGCAAGAGGCCGAAGCCGCCCAGCGCCTCAGTGAGGAGAAGGCCCAAGCCAGTGCCATCTCTGTGGGCAGCCGCTGTGAGGTGCGGGCACCTGGGCAGTCCCCTCGCCGGGGTACCGTCATGTATGTAGGTAGGTGACTGTAAGTTAGTTTGTTGTCACTGTAACTTGACAGACCTGAAAGAAGAGCTCTTGCTGCTCATGGTTTCAGAGGGTTCAGTCTGTGCTGGCTTGGCCCCATGCCCCAGATACTCCCAAGTCTTCCAGCTAAGTCCCACTACCTAAAGTTTCTAGAACTTCTTGAAATAGCACTACAACTTGCAGACCAAACCCCCACAATTTGAACTTTTTGGACACTTCCCATGCAGAACGTAACAGTTGTCCCCAGGGTTACAAGGTCATTTAGTGGACTCTGAGACCTTGTACTGTACCCTAGGGTAGGTAGTTCATGGGACACAGCCCTCTGTAGGGGGTACAGGCCCATCAGTTGGCAGCAGAGCCACACTTGGCATTAGTGGAAGTGGGAAGCTCAGGCATAATTGTTGTATGGTACAACTTCCTCATTTAAAGAGCACAGTTCCTTAACACAGTGTTTGCAGAACTGTGCCCCCCTCACCAAGTTTAGGGCATCTTATCAGCTCTGTAGCCACTCACAAATATTCCCCATTTCTTTTTTTTCTCTTTTCCCTTTCTAGAAAGGGTCTCTCTATGTAGCCCTGCTGGCCTGGAACTCACTATGTAGACCAGGCTGGCCTGGGACTCACTGTGTAGACCAGGCTGACCTCAAATACGTAGAGATCTACCTGCCTCTGCCCCTTGAGTACTGGGATTAAAGGTGTGCACCACCATGTCTGACCTCCCATTTCTATAGCCCTGCTTCCTTGGCCCTAGCTAACCACTACTTCATCTCTATAGATTAGCCTATACTGGACGCTTTTGTTTTTAGACAGGGTCTCATGTATCCTAGGCTGACCTAGGAACTCACTGTGTAGTTAAACATGACTTTGAACTCCTGATCCTCCTGCCCCTACTTCCCAAGTACAGTACCCCACCTGGCTATCTTATTAGATTTTCTTGAGACGGTATCTTACTGAATAGCCCAGGCTGGCCTCGGACTCCCAGACTGCTTGGATTATGGGCATCAGCCATCACTCTGGCTCAGATGTTTTCTGAAATAAAATTATACAGTATGTGGTCTTTGTGGCCGGCTGCATTCATAGCACAGTGTTTTCAAGGTCTATCAGTGTTGTGTGTGCATGTATCAGTGCTTATTGCTAAAGAAGATCGCGTCATATAGACAGACCACATTTATTCATTCATCAGTTTTTGGACCTTTGAGTTGTTTCTACTTCAAGGATTTAATATTATTTTAAAGTTTTTGTTTTGTTTTGAGACAAAGTCTCATGTGGCCGAGGTTGCCCTTAAACTCACGTGTAGCCAAGGATGACTTTGAACTATTAATCTGTCTGACTTCCATTTTAAAAGTGCTGGGATTACAGGCTGAACTTTCTTACAGGAATTTTGGGGTGGTTGCTGCTTAGACAGGGTCTCACAAAGTAGATCTGGCTGGCCTGGAATTTTGTGTAGACCAAGCTAGTCCCAAATTCACAGAGATCTACCTGTCTTTGCCTCTTAAGCACTGGGATTAAAGATATGGGCCACCATGCTCAGTCAATTTGGGTTTTGGGGTTTTTTTTTGTTTTTTTTTTAAGATGTTATTTTTAGCCAGGCGTGGTGGTGCACGCCTGTAGTCCCAGCACTTGGGAGGCAGAGGCAGGCGGATATCTGGGAGTTCAAGGCCAGCCTGGTTTACATAATGAGTTCCAGGACAGCTGGGGCTACAGGGAGACCCTGTCTCAAAAAGACCAAAAAAAAAAGTTATTTTTATTTTATATGTATGAGTGTTTTGCCTACATGTATGTAAGTGTATATGTGCATGCAGTACCCACAGATGTCAGAAGAGGACATCAGATCCCCAGGAACTGGATGTATGGATGGTTAGCCACCATGTGGGTTCTGGGAATTGAGCCTGTGCCCTCTACAAGAGCAGCCTGTGCTCTTAACCACCAAGCCATTTCTCCAGCCCCCACACCTGGCTCTTTGCCCATTTTTTAGTTGGGTTGCTTTTGTTGTTGGTCGTGCATTAGTTTGGCTGCCCTAAAAAAACACCACAGACAGGGACTTAAACACGGAAATTGATTTCTCACCATTCCAGAGACTCGGAGTCCTAAAGGCAAACAGTGGGCAGGCCTGGTTTATCCAAGGCCACATTTCGACAGAGAACAGTATCGCAGTGCTGACCCTGCTCTGCCTGGGGCTCCTGAATGAAGGGGGCAGGACTAGGGAGGAGGCCAGTGAAGAGGCTGCCATCTTGGTCTGGGGAAGTGGTCCTGGATGAAGCAATGGGGGCGGCAAGAGTCTAGACTCCAGGACTGCCTCTCTGCTGTGGGAGCAAGCATAAATACAAGTGAGCGCTGTCTAGAGGCTTCATTGCAGTTTCTCTCCTGGCCAGGACTCACAGATTTCAAGCCGGGCTACTGGATTGGCATCCGCTATGATGAGCCGTTAGGGAAAAACGATGGCAGGTAACAGCATTCCCACTAAGGCATTTGTGTGTGTGCAGGGGTGCTTGTGCATGTCTGAAAAGTCCATATGTGCTGCTGGGTGAGCCTTGCCACACTGGTTTGTAGAGTGGGAGCCACAAGCTACCTCTGACCACTGCTTCCCCACCATGCTCTGCAGTGTAAACGGGAAACGCTACTTTGAATGCCAGGCCAAGTATGGTGCCTTCGTCAAACCATCAGTTGTAACCGTGGGGGATTTCCTGGAGGAAGACTACGGGTTGGATGAGATGTGACACTGAAGAAAGGCCGTCTCCCTGCTTCCAGCCCCTGACATAGCCACTTGCTGTTGCCCCTCTGTCTATATACCTGTAGCCTTCCTCCTCTGACCCTGTTTTAATTTTATTCATTTACATTAAATTAATCAGAACCAGGGAAGAATGTGGAGGTCTCTTGATTTCAGCAGGGGCTGGGTGCATTAGGAAAATCAAGGTGAAATAATGGTCTGGGCAAAGCGGTGGCTACTAGAGGCCTATGAGATCATTCTTAAGATTATTTTTATTTTATGTGTATGAGTGTTTTGTTTGAATGTATGTTATATACTATATACCTGTGTCATGGAGGCTAGAAGAGGGTAACTGAATCCTCTGGAACTGGAGTCACAGATGGTCGTGAGCTGCTATGTGGGTGCTGGAAACTAAACCCAGGTTCCCTGCAAGAGTAGCAGGTGCTCTTAACTGCTGAGCCATCTCTCCAACTCCTAGTTTAGCTTTTCAGAAATTCTAGGTAGGTTGGTAGGTAGGACAAGGTGACACATACCTTTCCTTCTAGCAGTTGGGGAGGTAGTGGGGAGGCAGATCTCTGTGAGACTGAGGCCGTCTGGTCCACATAGTAAGTTCCAGGCCAGCTTGGGCTAGAGGGAGACCCTGTCTCTAAAACAAAATAAAATGTGTGTTATGTATGTGTGAGTATAATGCCCAGAGGCCAGAGGGTTTGGATCACCCTAGAGCTGGAGTTACAGGCAATTATGAGCTGCCTGTTGTGGATGCTAGGAACCAAACTCAGGTCCCCTGTGAGAGCAGTATGCACTCTTAACCACTAAGCTATCTGTTCAGTACCTTTTTTTGTTGTCGTTTGTCTATTTTGTTTGTTTTTACTTCTGATAGTGTCTCCCTAGCCCCAGCCTGCCTAGAAGTTACTATGTAGACCAGGCTGGCCTTGATCTCACAGAGATCTGTCTGCCTCTGCCTCCACACCCAGCATTCTTCAGCCCCTTTTTGTCCATTTTTACTCAAGGTAATATCCTGGGGGCTGGAGAGATGGCTCAGCAATTCAGTGACTACTGCTCCAACCGGATTAGGGTTTGGATTCCAGCATCCACATCAGGAGGCTCACAAACACATGTAACTCCAGCTCCAAGGAGTCCAACACCTCCATCTGGCCTCTATGGGTACACACACATATACACATACATAAAAAACTTTTTTAGGGGTTGGAGAGATGCCTTAGAGGTTTGGGGCATTGGCTGCTCTTGCAAAGAACCTGATTCTACCCATATGGCAGCTAACAGCTGTCTTAACTCCAGTTCCAGGGGATCCAATACCCCTTCTGTTCTCAGGTATTGCATGACACAGGTGCACTTACATACTACACTCATACGCAGAAAATAAAAAATATTTAAAAAATTGTTTTGAATAAATAATTCTGTTACAGTGCTTCAGTTTAATACTGACTTAACAACGCTTTTTTTTTTTTGAGACTGGGCCTCACTACGTAGCCTTAGCTAGAACTCACTCTGTAGACCAGGCTGGTCTTGACTCACAGAGATCTGCCTACTTCTGCCTCCCCTATGTTGGGATTAAAGATAAGCGCCAGTGTGCCTAGCAGTGTTCCTAATCTCTTGGCTTTTTAAAACTTTTTTTTTTTTTTATGTGTATGAATGTTTTGCCTGCATGTATGTAAGTATACATGTCCCTGCTTCCACAAATCAGCAAACAAAGTAGTTGAAAAGTCCCCAAAGCTCTGGTCCCTGTCAGTGAGCTATCAGTGAGGGGCATGAGGAAGTGTACCCCAACTTTCCAACCAGCCATGTTGGTAGCTTTCAGTTGCTGTGACCAGTACCTGAGATAACTTGTATTTCCATTTTCATGTGTGTGTGGTATGCATGCATATTTGCATGTGTAGCCACGTGTGGGTGTGTGCATACGTGTGGGTGCATGTGCTCGTGTGTGTACAGGCATGCATGTGGATATCTGTCTGAGGTTGATGTTTGGAATCATCCTTGGTTGCTTTTCCACCTTATTCATTGAGGCACGGTCCCTCAATCAAACCCAGTTCTTCAATATGGCTAGTCACTGGTCAGCTTGCTCTGGGTATCCCTTGCCTCTACCTCCTAAGACTGGAATTGCAGGTGGGAGGTCATGATTTTGAAGGCTATACTGGACTAAAATGAGTTCCAAGCCAACCTGGGCTATAATGTGAAACCTAGCCATGCCCACCCAGCATTTACATGGGTTCTGGGAGTCTGCATTTGGGTCTTAACACTTGCATAGCAAGTGCTTTTAAAAAACCACTGCACCATCTCCCCAGGCTCTATTTGAAATCACTTCATAGAGTAAAGAGGGCCTGGGTGTAGCTCAGCGATACAGCACTTGCCAAGCATATACCAGGTCCTGAATATGATCCCTAGCATTATGAACTGGGAAGAAATGAAGAAAGGTTTATTTTGGTCCCTGGTCGCTTGGCCCTATTGCTTTTCAGCCTGAGGAGAGAGAATATCATGACAAGGAACCCACGGCAAAGCTGTTTATCTCTTGGGAAAGCAGAGCGAGAAAGGGGGCCATGATCCCACCATCCCCTGCAAACCTAAACTATCATGGCCTAACTTGGTTCAGCTAGGCCCCACTCACAAGTTCCACCATCTCCCAATAGCGGCCCAGCCTGATGACCAAGTCTTCAGCCTCGAGGCCCAAGATCCAGACTATAATACCTACCAGCCTAAGTTCAGCCAGAGAACTCAGCAGAATTAGCACTGAGGACCTGAGCCTTGCTCTAAGGTTCTATCTCAGAGTGTACTTCCATATGACAGCCAAAACGAAAGGCAAGAAGAGGCTCCTGTATCCTCCACTGGTGCACTGACCTCTCAAAAGCATGCCTACGAGCTCCAGGTCAGAGTCAGTCACTGTGCATGAAAATGACCAAATAGCAGCCAGACATCCAAACACAAACTTTAAAAAATTATTTTTAATATATGTATATAGGTGTTATGCCTGCATGTATGTAAGTGCATCTGTGTTGTGCAATACTGGCAGAAGCCAGAAGAAGGCTTTGGATGCCCTAGAACTGGAGTTAGGAACAGTTACTGGCTTCCAGGTGTGTCCTGGAAATCAAACCCCAGTCCTCTGCAAGAGTAGGCAGTGCTCTTAACCACTGATCCATCTCTCCAGCTCCCCTACCAAGCATAAACTTTTGGAATGTGCTTTAAAGCCTCTAAGATGCAGCATTTGGGAGACAGAGGCAAGCAGATCTCTGAGTTCAAAGCCAACTTGGTCTATATAGCGAGTTCCAGGCTAGCTGGGACTACAGGGAGACCCCATCTCAAAAATAACAAAAGCAAAAGCCTCTAAGATGTCAAGTGGTAAACTGACAATGGAAGGGATAATTTGTATGTGTGTGTGCACTGCTGTGGATGGAACTGGAACACAGATCCTTGTGCATGTTAGGCTAGCCCTCGGCTACTGAGCCACACCTCCAGCCCCTCACTGGTGGATTCTGGGTGGAAGCACTCTACCACTAAGCCCCCATCAATGGGGTGGTAATTTCCTTTTTTTTTTTTAAAAAAAATATTTTATTATTTTTATGTGTATGAGTGTATTGCCTGCATGTATGTGAGTGCACCCATGTTATGCAATGCCTCAGAGATCAGAAGAGGGCTTTGGATTCTCCTGGAACTGAAGTTAAGGACGGTTCGTAGCCACCATGTGGGTGCTGGGAATCGAACCTGGGTCCTCTGCAAGAGCACTCAGTGCACTTAACTGCTGAGCCATCTTTCCAGCTTTCCCCCACCCCCCTTTTTTTTTCTTTTTAGTTTTGGTTTTTGTTTCTGCACTGCTGGGTATGGAACTCGGCCTTGAGCATTGAGGGCAAACACTCTACCACTGACCCAAAACCTTGTCTTTTGGGGCTTTGTTTGTTTGTTTGTTTGTTTGTTTTTAATAGAATTTTTTTTTTTTTTGGTCTTTTTGAGACAGGGTCTCCCTGTAGCCCCAGCTGTCCTGGAACTCACTATGTAGACCAGGCTGGCCTTCAACTCCCAGAGATCTACCTGCCTCTGCCTCCCTAGTGCTGGGATTAAAGGCGTGCACCACCACACCTGGTGTCTTTTTGTTTTTTAATTGTGTGTGTGTATTTGTGTGTGGGTATGTGCACATGAGTGCAGGTGCCCAAGAAGGCCATCCAGGTGGGCCACCCAATATGGGTGCTGGGAATTAAACCTGGGTCCTCTGCAAGAATTCACTCTTAACCGCTGAGCTATCTTTCCAGTCCCTTTAAAAAAAAAAATTTAAGAGTGCTGGAAAGATGGCTCAGTGGTTCAGAGCACTGGCTGTTCTTGGAAAAGACCCAGGTTTGAGTCCCAGTAGCATCCACGTGGTGGCTAACAACTGTCAGTAACTCTAGTTTCAGGGGATCCGATGCCGTCTTTTGACCTCCTTGGGCACTGCACAACATGGGTGCACTTATACACGTGCAGGCATAACATACATAAAATAAAAATTATTTTTTTAATTAAAAGAAATCTGCAGGCCAGGACTGATTTCTTTTTTCTTTCTAATTTATTATTTCGTGTGGGGGATTGAAGCCAGGGTCTCATGCATGCTAGGCTACATACCCAGACCTGATACTGATAATCTCTAAGCAGGAAAGTTAAATCTGCTCTATGAAAGTCTGGATCACATTTAGGGCTTGGAAACCCAGTTTGCAGAATGACTTGGTACTTAAGCTTTGATGGTATTCAGCGGACAGGCAAGGAAGGGGTCGTGGTCCGCATGTTGGCATAACACGGGCAAGCTACTGTAACAAATATCTTCCACCCCTCATAGTACAGTGCAGGTTTCTTGGTCTTCTTGGTGACGAGGGGTAATCTCAATGTACTTATTCACATCCCCAGACTCCATCTCTTGGTATCCCCCGCTTTCTGTTGGTATGGGAGGGGGTGATATGGAAAAGGGTCACCATGTTTCTTAGAAACCTGTCCCTGGAAGTAAATGCATTTCATTTCTCATTTTGTGCTAATGAAAACTCATGAGCCCCAAAGCCCTGAGGTGCAGCGTGTCTAGTCCAGAACTTGGCAGCTTCCCCTTATTGCCTCCTATTTTAAAAAATATTTTACTTATTTTTATTTTATGTGCATCTGTATGAATATATTGCTTGTATGT